GACGGGTTTCCCGACATGGACTGGGCCCTTTGGAGGGACCTGTGGAGATATAGATGGGTCATCCTGGGATCGGGTGGTTGTGGTGTGCGGGTGCGTTTACCAAGACTCTAAAGGCGGAGATTTAGCCAACGGAACGCACATCCCAAGGCCGTGTGTGCCGCGGCTGGATTTGACCTAGTCATGAATCGTCATGAGGTGGTCGGATCGGTACTATCTTGGGCGCGAAATTATCTGGATGTGATGGAAAGAAGAGCCTGAGTGTGGTCGGACGGATCAATATGCTAGATATTCTCATTGCGATGGAGAAAGAATGACAGTGTTCTTCGCGGTCCTCAGTGGAAAACAACAGTGGTCTCAAAAGAGACCTATCTGACCCCATCCCAGCAGTGACTGAGCTGCATGACCAAGGATCGAATACCTTGAGCCTGGGCGACCTCAGCTACCTATCCAGTTTCTGTGTAGACCTCTTGCTTTCTGCTATTTATTTCCACTTTGACGCCTCACGCCGAGATGGACGTCACAAGCGCCTGACGACTGTTACGTAAGTTGGAGTGTGGGAGAAGCTCGGCGCCCGTCACGATAGCCCACGGCACCACTTCCTAGGCCGAAGACGCGGCTCCAGCGCGCGGTGACGGCCGCCAAGGTGGGCCAAGTGCCGCGGCGGATACAGGCACTGGCGTGTCCTTTGCAAGGAGATGGGCACGGAACGAGACGGGTCGGTGGGGTGTGGGCAGAGAGCCCCCCCCCCGTGGTGTTGTACCGTCCAACACGACGTCGCCCAAGACAATCTCATGTCGTCAGATTGTGGGTTCTGCCGAGCCGCCCAGCGCAGATTCTGCTCGCGAAACCTACAGCCAACGACACACGCTGAGCCAAAGCAGGTCATTGATCTCGTGCGTCTTCCAAGCACCGCTAAGCAGTAGGGGAGGGAAAGTACGCCGCTTGGAACCAGAGGGCTGTCAGCCGTGTGGAAAATCCGGAGCGAAACCTGGCCCCGCCGGTTTGCGCCAGTTGCTCGGCATTGGAAGTGCACATCGTACTAACAACGTGAGTCTCGCCTTTGTCAAGGGGCTTTCGTGGACTCCGGTTTGCTGGATCATGGATCGTACATTGGTCGGTCGGTCGGTCGTCTGCGGGTTGTGTGCCATGTGCTGATGGTCTTGTCTTCTCTTGCTCCTCCACGCACCTAGGTACTCAGGTTGTGGTTGTGGAGTGGCCAGGCCCCTGGCGCCTCCATCGTCCCTTCCTTGCCCGCCAACCTTTTCGGCCACTTGGGGCGTCTTTGAGGGAGTCCTTGCCTTCCAAGGATCCTTCGGAGGGCGCCACTGCAAAGCAAGCAGAACACGGGAGGGGGAGGGGGAGGAAGGGCTAAGAAGTCAAGAAAGCCTTGTCCATCTTGCCTTCCCCCAAACCGACTGGCCCATAAATAACCATGGTTCATACCTGTGCCTGTCTATTTTATGCTTTCCCCTTGCTGTTTCCCCTTCTTCGTCCCAGGTGCCTACCTCTCTTGGGTAATTACTCATCCTATCACCTCGACATCAATCCTCGAGGCTGCCGTCGTCATCGTGCTTTCCCGCAAGCCTTGCTGTACTCACTTGTCGACAGAACCTCCGGTCCGTAACGACGCCTGGCCGCGGCCATCACCCAGACCTCGACCATCAACATGAAGGCTGTATTGCAAAAGATATTAGACAAAGTCGCTCCGCCGGCCGACAAGTCGGCTGACGGCCGTGATGCGTGGGGCAGCCGCCGCTCCTTCATCCTTGCCGCCATGGGCGGCGCCGTTGGCTTCGGTTCCCTGCTGAGATATCCCTCCATCGTCTACAACAACAACGGTCTCCAATTCTTCATTCCCTACCTCCTATCCCTCATAACTCTCGCCATCCCCACCCTCATGCTGGAGATCGCCATCGGCCAGGCCTACCGCGCCGGTTGCGTCGTTGCCTGGCATACAGCCAACAAGCACGCCAAGGGTATTGGGCTCGGTGTCATCTACAACGGCTACGCTGTCACCATCTACTTTGTTCCCATGATCGCCTGGATCATGAAGTTCTTCCGTCACTCTTTCACGAGCCCCCTCCCCTGGATGGGCCGCAGTGCCGAGTTCTACGAAGAAACCATCTTAGAAAAGGTTGCCGCCAACCCTGGCACCATCGCCGACGACGGCAGCATCGCCCGATATACCTCGTACCCCGGTACGGCCATGATCGGCGAGACCGTGGGCTGGACCATATTCACCTGGTTTGTCATGTGGATGTGCATCTTTCGCGGCGTGGGGTTGACCGGCCGTGTCATCTACTTCACCATGGGCATTCCCTTGCTTCTTATCGTCATCCTGATCGGCCGGAGCGCTGCCCTACCCAACGCTATTGATGGCGTCCGCCTCTACATGGCTGTCTGGGACTCCTCGAAGCTTGCCAGCCCGACTCTGTGGCAGGAAGCTTGCGGGCAAATCTTCTTCTCCGCCGGCATTGGCATGGGTTATTACACCAGTTATGCCTCTTACAACGCCAAGTACTCCAACGCGGTCCAGGACGCCGTAATTATTGGCACATGCAACATGTTCATTGAAGTCGTTGCTGCTTTTGCCGTCTTCAGTGTTGTGGGATACCTCGGTATGGACCCCGCCGATGGCGAGCCCCTCGACAGTTTCACCGCAGCGTTCTTGACCTATCCTGAGGCGCTCGCCCAGATGCCTGGCGCCAACTTCTTCGCTGTTATCTTCTTTGCCACCCTGTTCCTCCTCGGTATGAGCTCGGCCTTTGCCATGCTGGAGGCCTTGCTCACCGGCATCATGGACACCGACTGGGGACGCAGGTGGCCTCGTCCCGCTGTTGTATCCGTTGTCATCTTCGTGTCCATGCTCATCTCTCTGCCCTTCACCACTGAGTTTGGCTATGATCTCCTTGCAGCTGCCGACACTTGGGTGAACTACCTCGCGCTCTTCTTCATCGTCTGGGCCGAAGCCACCTGTGCCACCACTCTGTACCGCTACAAGGACGTTGTCGACCAGTGCGGTCTGCCGTCGTTCGTCTTGTACAATATTGGCTACATCGGCGGGCAGATCTTCGGTTTTGCAGTCGGCCACGCCGTGTCGCCTGAGGCCGGAGCCGGCGTTGGGTTTGGCATCTTCTTCCTTTGCCTTGCCTTGTCGCTCTTCATCGGCAGAAGTCCTGAGGCCGAGACTCCCAGCTTCTGGGGAACTAGCGGAAACATTGTTCGCAAGTTCTGGTGGCTGGCTTTCTACTCGGTATGTCAGAATGTACCGAGCGGCTACCTACCTTCGTGCTCCTGACCTCTCGGAATCAACTGACTGACTTGAAATACCCAGGGTAACCAAATCCGTCGCGATCTAAACTCGATCATCGGAACCGGGAAGAACTGGACTTTGCCGTACATTTTCGGCCCCGTCCTACGATACATCACTGCCCCCATCATTGGCATGCTGTTCTCCATGGCATATCCCCTATTCTATGAGAACCGCATGAATCCTCTCCACATTGCCGGGTTTGGTTTCATGCATCTGGTCATTGTGTTTTCCATCTTTGGGCTTTTCCTACCCCGATGGTTCAATGTCTTTGTCCCGCGCAACCGCCTCAACGATGGCACATATCCCGTAACGCCTGGTGTTATTCTGAAGCGCGCGAACGCCGACAACGACTACGCAGATGGCGTGTCTGATGAGGAAACCGGCGGCACAACTACCTATGAGAGAAGCTCTGATGAGACACTGCAAGGTAAGAGGAGCAGCACGCTTGACGACGTGCCCAAGGACAGCGTGTCCAGCGAGAACTGCTCAAAGGAAGAAGTCCCCAGGTGAGCAAGTGATTTGATCTAGACGCCCCAGAAAGAGTCGTCTACTTGTGCTCGCCGCTGGTGAAGGTATGCTGCAGTGTGTATGGACGCGGCCTCGGGCCTTCGCATCGGCGCAGGTGTGGTGATAATTCGGCACAAGACCGTTGAGAGACATGCGTGACACCAGTGGCCAGCAACCCACTTCCCTCTCTTTGACCGGAGCCCGGACATCCCGACAAATGTCGCGGGAGCGGCGTGACAACCGAGCCGCAACAAAAACACTCCCCGATATGCCCGGACAATATGCTCGAGAAACACGACCATCAACGAGACGCCCGGATCACCCCTCCGCCCGGACGGTACATCTGTATCAGCCCGGCTTCTCTATACTTCGACTCCGCCAGCCCGGACCCGAGTTTGGGATGGATCAATCATCCAGCTTAACAACAACGCATTCGCCAAAGTCTGGATGGAATTCTCTTGCCCTATGTTCATACATAATTGTCGGCCTCCTGATCATCTGGAGAAGCCAGCATCGGCCAGTGATTAGGCAGTGGCGGTGAATGCGTAACTCGCAGCATACAGTTTGATATTGAGATATATCCTTTACAATTGCTACATCTTATTTCCACGCCATGACGTTGAGCTATCTACAATTTTGTTCTTCAAAAGATACCCACGCGTACGTATTGATCCAAGTGCTGGAAAGGGTTTGAACAAGATGTATCATGTCTTATCCCAGTGGGTCCGTTATGATGTCGACTGTATATGTCAATATGAAAAGCGTTTCGATGGACAGCTTCACGAATATACACCTTTCCCCAGAAAGTAGCGAGTCGAGTTTACGATTGCGCAATCGGCATCTTTGAGAGTGGCAATCTATCACATCGACAAAAAAATGCGTGTAATATGACCTGTTTTGCAACTCTTTCGAGCTACCTATCCAGGTTGTTCCCTTCAACCCTAAAACGAGAGTCGTCCCCTGCAGCGCTAGCTCTTCCCGTGGCAGGAGACAATGACCTTGCATGATTGAGCAAGCATACGGGTTCTGAGAACCGCTGGTAAACACCTTGTGCGCCGTGAAGCGTACTGTCGGCCCAAAAGCAACCGAATTCCTTGGCAGAAAAAGCCACATCGCAACCGTGTACATGGCTACTCGCAGGTAGCCGTCATTCCTGACAGTCTGTTTCCGTATCAGACTGTTAATAGTCCTTGAACACAGAAATCAACTCATCCAACCGCATGACTTGGCCAAGAAGCTTGCTTTGGAGATCAAGAAATTGGCTGTACTTGTTGTAGTGCTCGGCCGTCATGACCTCCTCCTCCTTTCCCTTGACGTCTTTCCTGTCCACAAAAGACAGGATGTTTCGCTCACGGTGTCTCTGGACATCCAGAGTCTGTAAGCATCGCAGCATCGTTTTATAAACATCATCCATGAGCTGGTTATCGACGCGTGTCGCGTCGAAGAACCAGAAGAACATGGTCCTGTTTGCCGTGCGGCTATTGTCGCGCGGGACCTCTTGGACGTCAACAAATCCGGCCATCTGCAGCGCAAGCATCTTGCCCTGCACGTCTGATTTCTTCATCAGTGCGAGGCCCGGCAGCGTCTTCTCGTCCAGCTTGCCCTTGGCACGGAGGATGCGAGTTAGTCGAAGGCCGTGCCGTCCAAAGGTCTGCTCGATGACGGCATCAACTTCGACCTGTCGCAGGGACTCCATCAGCGGTTTGAAGTCGACGGTAAACTGACCACGGCCTTGTGTGCCGCAGTGCCGCACAAATCCCTGGGGACTTTCAGCTAATAGGAGGAGGTGTTGTCGCATCTCATCCAGCCGTGAATGCTTCGGCAGCGTTTCGTCTTCAAACATGACCCTTCCGCCCCTTGTGCCGGACCCGTTCTGTCTTCGTCTGGAGGGCCCGTCTTCGTCGTCGTCGGAATCGCCATTGTCATCGCTGTCGTCGTCGCGACCGTCCCCTCCGAGTGTGGCTCCGTCATCCGAGTCCTCCGATTCCTCCACCAGATGCTTTGGGATTGACCTGACTTTTTCGGCATTGCGCTGATTGATTTTCTTGCGTGCTGCTTTACCAACCCCTGCCGCGACACAGATGGATGGATCCAGAGCATCTAAAATCTGTAAGGCTGTCATGGCCACCTGTGGACTGGCTCTGCGACGACTGTTGTCATCGTCAATATCACCAACCTCGCCCGGCTCCAGATCAAATCTCGGGTCCATGCGACACCGCGCAATCTTATCTGACAAGAGACGAAGCAGCGTGTGGTAAACTTGTCCCGTGACCTCCCCAATATGATCGGAGGCGTATTGCGCGAGGGTCTGATTTCGAAGATCGACCAGACACTTCTCAAAGTTGACTTTGAGGACCAGATCGGGCTAAAACAGCGTTAGAGAGTGCCAGAGAGTCAACTGAGAGGGACGAAAACGACTGACCCCTAGTCCCTGGTCATGTCCATTGGCGACGGAGCCGTTGGAATGGACACCGTTGGTGAGCTTTCGTCGCTTGGCAATGAACGGCATGGTTTGCATTAGCTGACGTTTCAGCTTCTTGCTCTCTTCTCGAGCAGCAACACAGCGTGAGACGATTGTCTCTTGTTGCGCTTCCTTGTGCTTGGCTGTCAGCTTCTCGCCGGGTTCTCCTCTTAAAGCATCTTCCTCAATTTCACGGTACACGTCCTCGATGTTTCGAAATGTCTTGGGGCCAACCTGGTCGATGAGCTCCGCAATGATCAGGCGACCAAGTGTTGTGTGCAAGTTCTGGAGTGTTTGTACGTGTGCGGAACCTGTTGCCCCTGCGCGTCGCCTGCCGTCTGAGGAATGACCCCCATTGTTGCCGTTCTGGTCTGGATGGAAGCCGAATGCCTGTACGAGGTCTGACACCCTGGCGTGGCCCAGTTGCATGATCGTTTGGAACACTTCTTGCTCGGCCAGACCGTATTCTGTCCCCACCATATCTATAATCTTGCCAGAACGGACGAGGTTGTAACATGCATCGGGGTTGGCTTCGTAGCTGGTGACACTTGATCCGGCAATCGCGTGGTGGTAGAGAAGGTTTTGTTGCACAAGGACGGCAAGGCCGTGTCGCATTTGCCTCGGTGGCAGGGACGTGTGTCGGACAAGTTGTGGAATGGTTGATCTGCCTTTGCTGAGCAGGACAGCAATGATTCTCTGTGGACGAGATCAGACCGGTCAGCCAACATGTCATTGAGAAGCTCGATGACGCGGCGGGACGTCTCAGATCATGAAATGAGGAGCGGATGTTAAGCTTACAGCTGGCAATTCGCCAAACAGATCGTTGACGACATGAGCGCAAAGCTCAGCTGCATGTTTGGACTGAGAGTAGAGCAGTTAGTTTGGGGTGTAAAGGTATTGGGAGACAGCTTGGGTCATGCGACTTACTATGAGCATAGACATCTTGGGCGACAGGTGTGTAATCGATTGAGCAAATCGTATTGCCTCTAGAGATTCTCTCACTATCTCTAGAGCTATCAGAGAGACTACCACACGAGCATTGGGCTCCGTTCACTCAGTGCCAAGGGGTGGTCGTTGGCGGAACCAGGTTATGATGCGCAAGGCAGTGAAAGGTAAGATAGGTGTGAGTCCTTCAATCAGCCATCGGTTTTTTTTCCTTGCCTGCGACAAGACACAGGCAGTGGCGGGGCACACGTCGATGCCGGTCAGTGCTTGAGCAGGAAGAAGTGGACCAGCTTTATCTTATCAGGTACCCAACGAACAATAACTACCTACCTAGGAATGCATGAGTTATGCAGAAAGAGAATTTAAGGCCCAATACAGTCCGATTCGGCTTGACCTCGCATTATGGCCTGAGGCGCAAGATGCACGTGACATGCTCGGTCCAAGCTAATGGACCCATTCTGATTGGACATTGACAAGTCGTTCCATCGAAAATTGGTCGGGACGTCGTCGTAGTCGTCCATGAGGCACATTCTTCGGACCTAGCTATCACGACACAGGCGTAACGAACCAACATCGCACATCTCGAGCAGCTGCTCTCAGAATGATCTCCAGAACGTCTTTCGCGCGATCGGCGCAGCAGGTGGCTCGCCAGTCGGCCGCCGCCCGACCTTCCCAGTGCCGAGGTCTTGCCAGCGCTGCCTCCTCCGGCATCTACGAGCCCTCCGAAGCCAGCGGCGTCAAGGTCGCTGCTCGCGACTCCCACGGTCCTACAGCCAAGCTCGCCGTCGTGGCCAAGGCCGGTACTCGCTACCAGCCTCTGCCTGGTCTGGCTGCTGCTCTGGAGTCGTTCGCCTTCAAGGTCAGCCCACTCCTTCCTTCTGCATCCATTCGCAATCCATTCGCAACGACAAAGACTGACCCCGGGCTCTTGATTCTTTCCAGAACACCCAGAAGCGGTCCGCTCTCCGAATCACTCGCGAGTCAGAGCTGCTCGGTGGCCAATTGGCTGCGTACCACACCCGGGAAGCTCTCGTTCTCGAGGCAAGCTTCCTCCGCGACGACCTCCCCTACTACGTCGAGCTGCTCGGCGAGGTTGTCTCTCAGACCAAGTACACCAGTAAGTCGGCCCATCGTAAAATGCCCAGCTCTTGCATTAAACCTTGCCACCAGCGCACGAATTCCACGAGGAGGTCCAGGAGACCGTCCGCCAGAAGCAGCAGGCCGCCAGCGCCAACCCTGCTGGGCTCGCCCTCGATGCCGCTCATGCCGTTGCCTTCCACCGCGGCCTGGGATCGCCTTTCAACCTGACCACCAGCGCCCCTACCAAGCCTTATCTCAGCGAGTTCGCCATTGCCGACTTTGCCGACTCTGCATACGCCAAGTCCAACATCGCTGTTGTCGCCGATGGCGCCTCCACCGCCGAGCTGGCCAAGTGGACTGAGCAGTTCTTCAAGTCTGCCCCTACTGCGTCCTCCGGCAAGCTGGCTCTGAACACAACTGCCACCAAGTACTACGGCGGCGAGTCGCGTGCATCGCACACCGCAGGCAATGCCGTGGTCATCGCATTCCCCGGCTCCAACTACGGATCCAAGTCTCCCGAACTGGCCGTCCTGGCTGCTCTCCTCGGAGGCCAGTCTAACATCAAGTGGACTTCCGGCTTCAGCCTGCTCTCCAAGGCCGTCGGCACCAGCCCTGGCCTAAAGCTTGCCACGACCAACCTCGGCTACTCCGACGCCGGTCTCCTGACCATTCAAATCTCTGGACCCGCTGCTGCCGTTCGCAAGGCCGCCGAGGAGGCTGTCAAGGCGATCAAGAGCGTTTCTGAGGGTTCCGTCAGCAAGGAGGACTTGGCTAAGGCTATCGCTAGGGCCAGGTTCGACGCTTTGGAGGCGAGCGAGGGCCGCAATGCCAGCCTCCTGCTGGCTGGATCCGGCCTCGCCCAGGCCGGCAAGCCCGTCAACATTGCTGACATTATCAAGCCCATTGAGTCCGTGACAGCAGAGAAGTTGAAGACAGTAAGCGGATCTCTTCCAAAATGCGTTGTTCGTGACTGAATACTGACTTGCAATCTCAAGGCAACCAAGACCATCCTCGACGGCAAGGCCACTGTCGCCAGTGTTGGAGACCTTTATGTGCTTCCTTACGCCGAGGAGCTTGGTCTCCGAGTATAGAGCGTTAGAGCAACCGTGTATCAACAGTCACTCGAGCAGGACGAGCCGTGCATTGTGGAAATACAGGGTAGAAGTGTTAGCTAGTATTCCGAGTCTGATTCCATCATTTTGTTCCCGTAACACCACACCCATCCACGGCAACAACTTCGCGCCCGCCAAGTGACCTTTCATCACAACTTAGACTGCTTTCGTGCTCAGAGAATTGGTATATGAGGCACCTGTGGTGCAGTGCTCTGACCACGAAAGTACTGACAACCACGACTTCGACCCGATTGGAGATGTCTCTACACAGGCAACCCCAAAAGCGGAGATCTTTACACTTCTTCCTTTTGGCTGTGAGTGGTCCCTGTCACCATTGCATGCGACTTGCAATTAGAATGAACACTCCACCCAACAGATACCCGGTGATTTTCCATATACCCCTTGGGCTCTCTATTTGTCTGTGCACCGCTTGTGGCCCGGATTTTTCGAATACAGGCTCGCCCACGCACGAATAAGCATCAATGGAGCGAGCCGTTGCTAGCGTGTGCAATGGTGAAGTTATGGCTAAAATGCGACCATCTAAGTGTGCCCCTTGCCCACATGAATATCTGAGATGTTGTCTGTTTTGACGACGTTGATGGGGAGTGCCTCCCCGATAGAGAGATTCGTTCACATGGGAATGGAAGCCATCAGACCTTTGTCAGTGGCCACACCTCCTCAAAGTACTGGTTCACCAGCACCGATGTATTGTCGCGTGTTGGTGAGCCACCACGGACCGGGACCGGGTACAAATGGTGTGCTAGTGGGGTACGTTGTGCGCCCTTCCAGGGGAAGGTCCCTCAGCAACCTTGGGAGGTCCGAGACCCAAGCTTCCACACTAAGGTTGGTCACTGAGTACCTTCCTCCACAAGTAGCGAGTACGCAAGTACCTTTTCGCAGGGAAGGTGCCACCTTGGAGCATCGCCTCATCTGTCTCCAGGACACACCGAAAACAAAGCCTCACCCCCAACCTTATCAACGCCGGCCCTTCCTTCGCCCTGGCCTGGTACGCTGCCGTTCAATCAATACCTCCTTTTACAACCCCATCTCGCACTCTCCGCGACTTGGTACGTTTTGCACACCGCCCTCGCACAGATACCACCAAGCCAGCTCCCGGCGGCATCATTGACACTGGATCTCTGGGTAGCATTCTTGGCCGGTTAGATATCCCAAGCCGGCCTTGGTCTCCTTCATTCGAACACAGTCGAGCATTTCTTTCTACAACAGAGTTCAAGGGTACGTCTTCTGCGTACGACATAATTGGACTGATTTTGAATGAGCATGCTTCTCTGTTACCACTGTGGTGTCGAGCTTCAGCCCTCCCCTTATCACATACCGTCTACAAACCGCAAACATGCTAACTACAGTTTTTCTCTCAGGGCAAACCAACATCAAGAAGCCCGTTGGCGATCGATTCAATACCGGCGGTTTGCCATTGCTGAACCGACTGCGACTTCCCCCATTCGCATCGATTCTTCAAGACCTTGTGTGCTCTGCCCTTGCTGCCACAGAAGGGGATACTCGGGTACTCGAGGTCAGTGACTGGAAGAGCGCCTCGCCCCGTGATATATTTCCTTATCCCAAATCTCGACCTATGGAAATGTTCTCGTTCCCATTCGAAAGAATCGACATACAATAGACAACCAAGCCTCGCAACAGTTTGACTGACCTGGGCATGCTGGTAGGCTTGTTGGACTCAAATTGCAAGCTGCAGTGACATTGTCTTGTCGGCTGCTAGCGATACCGTTTCAAAAGCAGTACCGGAGGCTGTACAACCACCTGTCACGCATCTTCGCAGTAGGAGCCTTGCAACGGGATAAGCACACAAGATGCCCTTCCCTAAAAAAGACAATGGCGCCGGCCCAGGCAGGGGTCAAAATGGTGAGCGCGGTAGTCCGCTTCTACTTGACAAGTCTAATCATGATTCATATTCAGGTTCCAGAGGAGGGTTCAGGACCGACACGGCCATCTCCAACAGCAGACTCGGCGCTGAGCGGACGTTGCAACCATGGATGCCCGACTCTACGGACGGTATGGATGAAGGTCTTGAAAGCTCGAACAACAAGAACAACGCGCCTTGGGATCAATTCGCAGAGAATGAACGACGTTTCGGTATCAAGACCGACTACGATGAGAACATTTACACTACCGCTATCGACAAGAGCCATCCCCAATACCGCGAGCGGATGGCAGCGGCAGAGAAGAAGGCTAGAGAAATTTCGGGGAGCCAAGCTGCCACTGCACATGTAGCTGAAGAGCGCATTATGGACTACGCAGGCGGCGATGATCGCGGTGGTGACGAAGAGGACAAGTAAGTTGACCATTGAAGCAGGTGTCATCTCTCGCCACCTAACATCAAACTCAGGTATAGTGGCGTTAGACGGCAGGACTTCCCTCCGCTCTCGACCCGTGAAAACAAGTACACGCCGCCAGCGAAGCGAGCTCCAGCAGCGCAGTCAACTGTCACAGGTGCCCCTGTCGACCCTGCCATCATCTCGTCACAAGTTCGCGCTCCTAGCAAGAAACCATCCCCTGCTAGGCCCGAGGATGCGAAGAGCCAACCCCTACCTGGGAAGCTATCGACGACACAGCCAGCCGATGAGTCGAAGCCTATTGATTCCAAGGCGACTATCAAATCTTCGCCAAAGGGCGAGGCACCCAAGCCAGCAAGGGCTGACAGCCCTCCGGCGACGGCCGCCGACTCTGCGAAGCAGACTGAAGTCAAGCAAGCAGACAAGACGATCACGCCTCTCCGTGCACCATCTACGAGTAGCCGTGCTAAATCACCTCAAACGGCGGCAAAGGAGGGCACGCCAAGCGCTGCTCTGACAGTCGAACGAGATGTTCTCAATTCGTTCAAGTCTTTTGCTACTCAACAACGACAGAACGCCGACAAGATTCGTACAAGCAAGGCAAAGGCTGACAAAGAAGTCAAGTTGACCGAGTTAAAGAAGTTTGCTCAAGGCTTTAAGCTGTCGACCCCTGTGCCTACCGACCTGATTTCTATCATTGCGAAGGACCCCAGCAAGCAGAAGGAAATACAGGCCAAGGCTCTTCAAAATGCGGAGGACGTGGCGCGAACGAAGACGGTCGAGTCTGCTTCCAAGGACAAGGATGCCAAGGATGTATCCAACAAATCCACTGCCGCAGCTAGTGCTACACAGAGCACTCCTGATGGACGTGCGGGAAGCCGCCCATCGCCCTCGCAGTACGCCAACTCTCCCGGCTCAGGACCCTCTGTGCGCAACGCCAATGCGCGTCAGTCGTATGCGCCGCCATCTCACCATAACCAGTCTTATCGCAATGATCGTCAAGGTCAACACGTTAACCAGCAAGCCCGCCAATCTCTGGGACAGAGGCTTCGAAACACAGAGCAGCAAAAGATGTCGCAGGCTCCGCCTCATCAGCAGCCTGTGACCCCAGAGGTTCGGGTTCCGCCTACGGGCCCATCCAACAGCGCTGGAGATTCTTCCTTCGGCCGACGATTGAGTGGCGTCCCCGGCCATATGGGCCCGAAGCTGAACCCGAACAGCCATGAGTTCCGGCCCAACCCGTTCGCCACCTCGTTCAACCCCAATAGCAGTCACCCAAGCGCCGGATCGAGCCCTCGCTCAGGTGCGGCTGTAAACACGACCACGGTTGACACCGCCGCTGGTCCCGCGCCCGCTGGTCAATTGATACGCCGCAAGACGAAGGCCATTGATGTTCAGAAGTGCTTCATCCTTGCCCACATCAAGACCTTCGCCCCACCTAAAGTGCGTAATTGGGATGATAACGAAGGTCTCAGGCCCTCGTATGATACGATACCAACGTGGCGCCAACTCCAGGAGGAGGACGAGAAGCCGGAATCGACAATGCGCCTGACCTACAAAGAATTCCTGGAACAACAATCGTTCGCGGCCCCTTCCATGACTACACCAACGCCTCCACATGTCACCTCCAATAATGCTCACCACTATCAGTTGCCGCTGCATATGCAGCAAAATGCACATGGCACGGCTCCTCGCCAGTCGCCTAACATGGCTACAATGCCACTCCATAACCAACATGTGCCTGCCCCTCATGGAGCTTACACGAATGGCGTGGACGATCACCGGATGATGCACTCGAACTCTGCGCAGTCCTTTGCCAGCCCCCGGATGAGCCATGTCCCTATCACGTACACACCGGCAGTCAATTCGCCCGCTCAAGTCCCGTACTCGCAGCCGATGATGCAACCATACGGCGGGCCCGGTACGCCGCAGATGAACCAGTATCGAAGCTTTTCCAACACCCACCAGTACCTGCAGCAGCAACCCGGACACATGGGTGGTCCTATGATCATGCAGCCGCAGTTTATGAGTCCGCAAGGAATGCTGCCTGGGCAACCGATGCAGATGTACGGGGGACACGCCCAATTCCCGCCCCCTAACGGTGGCCCCCCACCTCACCCAGGGTCGAATGGATATTCCAGTCCCGGACGGCCTGCTGCGCCCATGATGGCGCACCAAGGATCGCAGCAGGGTCAGACAGTTTACGGGATGAGCCCAAGCGTTCCCTACCAGCAACCTGTTTTTGCGCCGCAACAGCCCGGCCTTCAAGGTAAGGGACACTCCCCTGAGATGGTCGCGCCACCTGCTCAACCCCTGAGATGAGGTTGAGGCCGAGGCTTGACGAGTTGCTAATCTAAATGTCTTCGACCAGGCGGAAATGCACGCGGATATAACAATTCAGGGGCGCCGCACTTTGGTACAAGCCCACAACAAATGCACGCATACGGGGCTCAGCATCGTGCCGGTAGCAACTACGGCAGTGGCAAGAATCTGGGCAACAACGGAGCTCATGGCCACCCGCAAGGCCACGGCACGGCAGCTAACTCCCAAACACGGGCTTCTGAAGGGCCTGCCGAGGCCAAGTAACCCGCCCGTTGGTACTTGACTACGGGGCAGCAAACGACGACATGGGGGTGTTCTAGGCTGCATGTAATTTCCCAAGAGCACTCTTGGCACATCAGGCAGCATACCGGGATACAGCAAGCTCGTCGTGGGGTAGGATGAAGTTGATGGACTACCAGTCGGATGGTGGAAAGTGGCAGGTGGGCGAGATAGGCGAGCTGGCAATACAACATGCAGAGCAGCGCGTGCGTCGTGGAGTAGAAATCAAGATGCAGTTTCTTTGCCTGCTCGCAACCATGATGGCACACACCATGGCACCTACGTGGTTCCTTGAATTCGAGAGTAACGACGTAACAAGACACGGGATGCAGGTGTGTGAGTGTCTTTGTGAGTGGCGTTGACACATGCTGGACGCCACCTGTAATGGCGCGTTTTGGAATTTGAGTGCTCGGGCCCCACGTACAGACGAAGGCCTCGGGACTCGGCCACATCGCACGCCGATGTCCCTCACCAGGGATGCGGGATTCAGGCCTCAAACTTGATGTGTTAATGAGCACTGGGCAGAAGAATAACATTGGACTTGGCATCTCCCCCCTCCCACCGAAAAAAAGGCACGGCGCATGCATGCAGCAGGGTCAACCAACGGGCTGGACGTTCTGAACGATTGATATTAGGAGAGATGGTGAAGCATAGGACGACGAGGCATTGGGATCTATTTTTTTTTTCTTTCCATGATGCAGCTGGGGCACCAAGACCTAGGTCGACTGAGAGACGAGATGGAGAGAGGCCGCTGGCTACGCAGATTCAATGCCTCGGGAAGGCGGCGCCCCTCGGCGGATACCACGTCCAAGACAGAGACAGCGACAGAGCCGTGAGAAGGCGTGAAGTCAGGCCACGAGCCGCGTGGTGGCAGGGTACATCGAGGCTTGCGTCGACAATGTGAGAGGCATGCTCGGTTGCGCTGGGCTGGTAGGCTGCTGTGCTGTGCGTTTAGTCAAGGGCGCGGCACGCGGTGGGGCAACAGGGGCCCAGCATGGCGGCTACCACTTCGGAGGATCGACGTTTCATCGGCACTTGGGCCACCAGCGACTGGAATGGGCGAATCCAGTCGCTGTGTATCGCTGTGCATCGCTGCGCCAGGGGTTCGAGGGGCGTCGATCCCTCCAGGCACGAAGGCCCATCGATTGGCTGGCAGCGCTGTGTTCCCCCTGAAGCAGCAGCCCCTGTGGTCACTCGTGTGCCTCAGAAGTTGGCGCGAATGCCTGGTGGTGCCATGTCATTCGTGAGTTATCCCACAATTCCAGTGCAGTGCTGTCTCGCCCCACCCATCCTCTCTATCCGTCTCCTGGCGCGGTCCAGCCTCGACGACAGCTTCCATTTCTAGCGACTCGTCGTTTATTTTTCTGCCTCGGCGGAGGGGGTGCATGGGGCCACGACGCCTGTTTGTGACTGCGACGAGGTGATTTGGGTACCTAGTCACCAGAGAGCGGAAGAAGAAGGAGGTGAAGAAGCATGGACATGCATCAGGAGAAAGGGGGGGCACGGCATGGATATCGTGGGTGTTTGGACGAACAAGCAAACAGCGTCCAGTAACGGACCGATCAGCAGGCCGACATGTGGCTCTGGCCCTGTCTCTGTCGCATCATCACAGACATGATGGGATGGACGATTCGATGTGCAGGGTGCGAGTGATGGCCTCTCCGTCGTTCGTGCCGCTGCCGCGCTCATCTTGCCGCCCTACACTGCTGCCGCCTGCCCCGGGGTTGGGTCGCATCGCATCGCACGGCATCGCATCGCATCGTAGCGGAGGCCGGTAGAGAGAGGGGCTTGAGGGGATGGGTAGGGGAAGGGGTCCTTCCTTGCCAAGCTGAGCCCGCTCGCCTGGCCGCGCCTGGCCTCGCTGCGTCCCTCTGCGTCCCCCACCCTGGGCTTGTGACAGGACATGCGTGGAGCTGGACTCGTGGGAGACAGCAAAACAATAAAGGGGGCCTGGCCTCGCACTGGAATTTCGACGACGCCTGGTTCTGCACTGCTTCACTGTTCCATTCCTTCCTTTGCCTCCTTCCATTGTGCCTTGTATTCACTTCACACTTGAAGTGCTGGTTTTCTTTGCAAACCCACACCTTCATACCAGGCTCGGGTCACTCCTTCTCCCAGCCTTTCTGATTCTTTTCATATCGCCCACTCTGGAACATTCGTCCTTCCAGTCTTTTTACTCACAAGGCCTCACGGGTTTTGCTACTGCCTGACCTCATCGCATACCGAAGCAAACACCTCTGGAAGGTGTACCTTGTTCGCTGCCAGCTAGCCAGCCCAGCCCAGCCTCTGCGTTCAAGAACAATAGTCTTGTCTGTTGTTTCGATTCCACACAGTCACCACGTTCCACGAGCCGGCTCAACTTATAGGACGACACGTATATAACACTGCACATTCGGTCCTTCCAGACACTCTTCTCTTCCCAGACACACAGCAGACAGACAGCAAAGCACGCAACACACCAAACAAGAAAGTGAAGAAACGCAAAACACACACGCAAATCATGTATACCCCCTCTCTCTACGCCGCCTTCTTGGCCGCTCTCACCTTCGACTCCGTCTCCGCCCACATGGAGATGTCTTGGCCTCCCCCGCTCCGGTCCAAGAAGAACCCCTTCGCCGGCAGCGACATCGACTACAGCATGACCACGCCTCTCAGCGCCTCGGGTAGCGACTATCCTTGCAAGGGTACTCTGGGCCTCCTCGGCACTGCCGCCGCCGCTCCCGTGGCGAGCTGGCAGGCTGGTCAGACCTACAACTTGACCATCGAGGGTGGTGCCAACCACAACGGCGGCAGCTGCCAGGCCTCTCTCTCCTTCGACGGTGGCAAGACGTTCAAGGTCGTCCAGAGCTATGTCGGCGGCTGCCCTCCCGCCGGCACCTCAACTTACGACTTCACTCTGCCCGACGACACTCCGGCTGCCGACGACGCGCTGTTCGCCTGGACCTGGTTCAACCAAGTTGGCAACCGCGAGATGTACATGAACTGTGCCGTCGTCTCCACCAAGGCTGGCGGTAGTGCTAAGCGCCAGGCCACCTCGTTCAATAGCCGCCCTGACATCCTCGTCGCCAATGTCGGAAACGGCTGCTCCACCACTGAAGGCTCTGACGTTGAGTTCCCGAACCCGGGCGCCAGCGTTGCCAAGGCCAACTCCAAGACTGCGCCGCCTGTGGGCAGCTGTGGTAGCGCTGCTGGCGGCGGCGGCGGTGATACCGGCGCATCTCCTGACCAGGGCAACGCCCCGAACCCTGGTGATGGTGCTCCTCCCGCGAGCTCTCCGTCCAAGACTAGCGCAAACCCTGTGCCTACGACTCCCGCCACCGCACCCGAGCAGCCTGGATCTGGCCCCGTCACCACTTCGACCACACTGTATGTATCCTCTTTGCCTACTATTTCTGACCACTCACTGACATCGGATAGCCCTGGTGGCGTCTTCATCCCTCAGCCCAGCCCCGAGGCACCAGAGGAGACTGTTGTCACCCCTCCCGCGGAGACTGGAAACGCCCCTCCTCCGGCAAAGCCTACCACCTTGGCAACTGTCACGACCACGGCCGGCACGGGTAGTGCTCCGAAGCCCACCTCGACTCCCGGATCGGGTGCCGGCAACGGAACCAATGCTGGGGTTCAAAAGCCAGGCGTCGCTTGCGCCAACGAGGGCCAATGGAACTGTGTTGGAGGCAGCCAATTCCAGCGATGTGCTTCTGGCCTCTGGTCTGTGTTGATGCAGATGGCGCCTGGCACATCCTGCGAGACGGGCATCAGCGAGGCCCTCGTCATGTTCAGGACGGGTAGCCGAGCTCGTCGCTTCGTCTCTCCTCGCTATCTCGCCTAAGGCTTGACCTCCCCTTCTCGACATACCTCTTCCACCGTATACAGCCTTCCTCCACCGGTCGCTTTGCAGGAACAGCAGCGGCTGACGTACATATCGATCAACCATGACAAGGTCAGGCACCACACCGTGGATGGAGTTTTTTGGCGTTTGATTTGCCACATTTGCATCAGTTTAGAGTAGTTGAGCCCTTGGCAAACCAAATAGGGACTTTTTTTCCGTTACCACTTTCCTCCTGGCACTACGTGTACGTGAAAGGTAGTGAGCCGAATTGTGCTTGCCTATTGAGCTATGTTTCCCGGAAACGCTTTCGTTTGTTGTTCTAGTATTTGGCGCGGCAGGCTGTGTAGAGGATTAAACCAGGCGATCAAAGAAACTGCCTCTCGGTGAATGGAGACGCATTGCATTGTTGGCTGCATTGAGGTCAGGAACAGGGGAGTACGTCAACTTGCCCTTATTGCTGGTTATACAGCCACTGCTAGCAAGCTAAAACCCCTCGGCAGGCTGCCTCCTGAACCGCCTCGAAGGTACCTATAGGTAGGTACAGTGCCAAATTCTCTCCCGACGCCGCTTTTAGTATGGGACAGGCTCGGAACAATTAGTGTGGGGAGGGGGGGCTTGGGAGCAACCCGCTAGGCACTTAAGCATTGCTCATGACCAGGAATAGGCGACCGCCCTGGTACTATCACTCCATTAGATAGGTAAGCTACCTAAGCATATATTTGAGGTTCAGGTAGTACTAAACACCGAAATGATAATGAATTCCACATGGGGACCTGGGTGACGCATGTCGGTATATACCCTTTACTTTCATAGGAAAGTGAACGTTCCAGACGGCACCGAATGGCCCCTCAGAAGTTGGACTGGCAACGGCCTTTCTAGGTGACCAACGCCTATATCGTCTACTGGGCCCCTCCGTCACCTCCCGCTACCAGTGATACCTCGAACAAACCACATCGGGGTGCCACGACCACGTCCTCCGCTGAACACCCAAACCACGCAACATTGTATGCGCGCTGTCGCTCTCGACGCATTCGACACCTCTACCCCTCGGAGAACGTCCACCCTCCCCGATGGCTGGGCCTACCTCGCCGGGCGCTGAAGGCCCCACGTTTGGCCCTCCTCATCTTCCACCAGGTTGGATCGCGCAGTGGGACGGCGCGAGCAAGAAGTACTACTTCGTTCAGCTGTCTACCGGCGTTTCGCAGTGGGACACGCCGACGGATGCTGCACCCACAGGCACGCCAGCACCTGGTGTCGAGCATCCCTATGGCATCCCGCGGCAGCAGGAACTGATCACACACCCAGACGGCAGCCAGACCGTCCGGCACGTCGATGGTTCCATGGAGCCGGTCAACCCCCCCATGCCGCCAGACGGCACGCGCGGCATTGGCGGACAGACTGGCGACCGCGGCCTTGGTGTAAGTCGTGCTCTCCCCACCTCCCAGGATTGCGCCACGCGGCACAGGGACTGATCTCGCCTTGCGCGCATACAGAGCATGGCCATGAACGCCCTGCTGGGTGGGAAAGACTCGAGCAACCACAATACGAACGGCAACCATGGCGGCTCCGGCTCGAATCCTTTCGGCAATCTCGCAAACCAGTTCTTGGGGGGTGGGGGTCACGGCGGTGGAGGGGCAGGCAAGAATGCACTTGGCAAACTCGGCGGTGCGCTGGCGAACAGCTTCTTACATTCAGGTGATAAGCCTGAGCAGCCGCAATCGTACCACAGCGGTCAGACTACGGGTCACCAGCCACAGCAGCAGCAGCAGCAGCAGCAGCAGCAGCATGGCCTGGCTGGTTCCTTGATGGGCGGTGTTGCGAGTATGCTCGGTGGAAACAAGCCATCGCACGGGGTACGTTCTCGCCAAATCTTTGCAATCTAGGACGTGCAGCTGACATGCTACCTCCTCCAGAGCAGCAGCTACGGATATTCCAACTCGGGCAGCGCCTCGGGCGGCTACTCAGGCCAAGCCCCTCCGACGTCGTACCAACCGCCCGGTGGTGGTGCAAATGCGCCCGGAGCATCTTCCTATCAGACAACGACGCCCAACCATGCCCCAAACCCCTCGTTTCCTTCTCCCTCAGGTCAAAACGGGAGTCAGGCCTCGGCGCATCAGACACACCCCACGTACGGACAGGTTCCCGGGCCGCCTCCCGGAAAGCCCCCCGGCGCGTACGGACAAAGCAGCGGATATGATGCCCCATCACAAGGGGGTCATCATCATCAACAACAGCAACAACAACAACAACAACCACAATACGGCCACACCAACAATGGTGTTTACGAGCCTTCGTATGGAAACGGCGGTAACGCGCCTGGTGCTTACCCCGGCAACAACCCGACCTACTCACAGGGCCCGAATCAGCAAGGCCACGGTTACGGCTCTCAATACTGACAGCAGTTTTTTTTGGCCTAAAAGTATGGTTGAGATCCACGCTGCCAGTTCAGGGCTGATGCAAGCCCGTACGCTGTGATCCCGGGATTCCTTTGCCTGCGGGCAGATTGAGAACGACCTGCCTATTGACAGCCGACAATTCAGTCAGATTCGTGTTTAGTTCGCAAGCAGACTGGATATTGTATCATGAATTACATGACGACTTGTTTATGAATGTTATCTGCACTTGAAATGCAATAGAAAAGAACCATAACAAACCGGCTTCGCTCATCCCCAGCCGTGAGCTATAGCCTTCATCCCCTACATGGCCTTCTTCACAGCCTGCTCTGGCGAGCTGGTCAACACCAGCAAGTGGTTGCGGATACGCTGAGCAAGTGCCCAAGCCAGACCTGCAACAAGAGTCATGTACACAACTGTTGGCGCTAGTGATTGCGGTACAATATTAAGAAGATACGGATCGAGGATGATGTCCACCAAGACAGGATCGACGTGAGTCATGACGACGGCATTGTGTGAATAGTAATTAGCGGCGGCAAGCACGCGCAGCAACATTACAGATGCCTCAGATTCGGACGTCGTTCGGTCACGACCGTGCGTTTTATCGCCTGTAGCGTTTGAACTTGCGTCCACTGGTTCGGTGGTCCCAATACTCGCGCGAGATTCCACGTAGCTTGCGAGTGAGGCGATCAAATCGGGGGTTTCCCAAACCTTTTGCAAGGGGTACACGTCCAAGATGAAGTTGGTGGGTTGCTTCGTTGATTGGGCCACTGGTTAGTCCAACAACAGCTCTCACGAGAAGAAAAGGCATCCGTGACGAACCGTGGCGGCCCAGCACACGCGCAACTCGTAGCGTTGTGAGGGTCTAAGGTCGTCTAGCAAGAACCACGTGGCCGAGCCAACGGCCGAGCCGGCGTCGGGGAATGAAGCATTCAGATGCGACCTTATGGATGTCCTGGTGGGGGTGAGGACGTCCAGGCCCAGGACCTCCAGCGTGGGCTGGTGAGCTGGGATGTTGACTGTTGCTGGGGCGAGGAATATGGACTTCTCCGTGTTGCCTTCACACACTGCGGCCATCAACAGGGCCAGCGGAAACGTGAAGTGTTTGACAGACCACATGGTCGATGCGATGGGCACCTTTTTGGATTCCCGCACTGCCGAGTGTGAATAGCGGTGAAATGCTGCTCGAACCAATGCGAGGGTTGACTGGCGTGGGAGGACAACACGGCGCTGGCGGGGGCCGTCCAATCCAAGACCCCAACACAGACGCGCTTACCAATTAAGGCAGCACCATCAACAAAAACTCCTGCACGGACCCCTGTCGCGGTCAAATTTCCCCCACCTCCCCTGCTCGACTCGACCTTTCCCCGTCCAGGTCTTGCCGTCCTTCACTCGTCCCAACCTACCTCAACCTCGACCCTATCTGACCTTACCGACGATTCCTTTTTTGCCCGGAGTCGTTCTCAAGACTACGGCCGACGACACATCTTGGAGCTGTTGCTATCCTTTTCTGTGTGTACTTCCTTGGAGTGCCAACTCACGAGCTTGTCAATCGAAACCCGCATACACCCGAACCCCCTTTGCTCTCACCGAAACTGCCCATCATGCGTGAAGTCATCAGCATCAACGGTACGCCCGACCCCTCCTACCATCCACTCGCACTACGCGTTTTTCTGGGCGTCCCCTTCGTTGGACCCGTTCAGCTGCCGCCTCGGACTATGGGATCTTTGAGGAATACGTACTGACGTGCCCCTCCACACAGTCGGACAGGCCGGTTGCCAGATTGCCAACTCGTGCTGGGAGGTATGTACTGTCTGAGAGCACGCGTTGCTCTCAGCCCACACCCCCGCCAGAACCACATGGCACGACCGGTCAACATGGATGGAGTAGCACCAGATCACTAACCGAGCGACTCTGTAGCTCTACTGCCTCGAGCATGGCATTCAGGTATGTTTTCTTTGTTGCCCGCCCTCCTGTTCAGCGGAGTCCCCCACTCTCACCCTCAGGCATGTGTACTGATGCTTTCGCCTGTGATACAGCCCGATGGTTTCCTGACCGAGGAGCGCAAGGCCGCCGACCCTGACCACGGCTTCAGCACCTTCTTCTCCGAGACTGGTACGCGCTGGCCCAACGATCTCTGACAGCGGTACGGGAGTCACTAACGTGTATGCTCCCATGCAGGTCAGGGCAAGTATGTCCCTCGCGCCATCTACTGCGATCTCGAGCCCAACGTTGTCGACGAGGTCCGCACCGGCGCCTACCGCGGCCTTTTCCACCCCGAGCAGATGATTACCGGCAAGGAGGACGCCTCGAACAACTATGCCCGTGGCCACTACACCGTTGGCAAGGAGCTGATTGACCAGGTCTTGGACAAGGTCCGCCGCGTCGCCGACAACTGTGTTGGTCTCCAGGGCTTCCTCGTCTTCCACTCCTTCGGCGGTGGCACGGGTTCCGGCTTCGGCGCCCTCCTCATGGAGCGTCTGTCGGTCGACTACGGCAAGAAGAGCAAGCTCGAGTTCTGCGTCTACCCCGCCCCTCAGACTGCCACTTCGGTCGTCGAGCCATACAACTCGATCCTCACAACCCACACTACTCTCGAGCACTCGGACTGCTCCTTCATGGTCGACAACGAGGCCATTTACGACATTTGCCGTCGCAACCTTGGTCTTGAGCGCCCCAACTACGAGAACCTGAACCGTCTCATCGCCCAAGGTAAGTTGCCTCGTATTTGAAGGCCCGCAGCTCCAGAGACTAATAGTGGTCCATAGTCGTTTCCTCCATCACCGCCTCCCTCCGCTTCGACGGCTCGCTCAATGTTGACCTGAACGAGTTCCAGACCAACCTGGTCCCCTACCCTCGCATCCACTTCCCCCTCGTTGCCTACGCCCCCATGCACTCGTCGGCGAAGGCGGCCCACGAGGCCAACTCCGTCATGGAGATGACCATGTCTTGCTTCGAGCCCAACAACCAGATGGTCAAGTGCGACCCTCGCCACGGCAAGTACATGGCAACCTGCCTTCTGTACCGTGGTGACGTGGTCCCCAAGGACGCGCACACCGCCGTTGCCACGCTGAAGACGAAGAGGACCATCCAGTTCGTCGACTGGTGCCCCACCGGTTTTAAGCTTGGTATCTGCTACCAGGCTCCTGAGAAGGTTCCCAACGGTGATCTGGCCAAGGTCAGCCGCGCTGTGTAAGTTGCATCCCATCCCCCCTCCAATGTGCACTGGAAGTCCGAATGATCGCATTGCTGACTTGGGTATTCAGGTGCATGCTTTCGAACACGACGGCCATCGCCGAGGCCTGGGCCGCACTGTCCAACAAGTTTGATCTCATGTACTCGAAGCGTGCCTTCGTTCACTGGTACGTCGGCGAGGGTATGGAGGAGGGTGAGTTCTCTGAGGCTCGTGAGGATCTCGCTGCTCTGGAGCGCGATTACGAGGAGGTTGCGACGGACTCTGTTGGCGATGATGAGGGTCTCGAGGCCGAGTACTAGTCAACCCAGGTGTGTTCCGTTCGGCGATTGGTGCCATTTGGTGAACGGGTAGAGTAAACAGTCATTCTTCGGTACGGGTCCAAAGCACTTCTCTATTGGCACACGTCTCTCATGAGACGCTGTTAAGCCTTGACCATAGCATGAGATGAACCAGCAAGGGTCGCGACGTTTCTTACTTGCTGTCGGCAACAGGCCAAGCCAATACATATACCTCTTTTTAATCAGAAACAAAGAACTGCCAAACATGCATGAGGACCACGACAGGCTCAGTATTGACACACGCAAGATGATGCAATTTGGGGAGCTTCCTGAGCACTAGGTACCAGGACGTGTCGCCGATTGGCTGTGATAGGGAGCTCCTGGTCGAGATTATGTAATACCAGGTACCCACCTGTCTCGACCTCCACGACAGCCAACGGGGGGGTCGGGAGGTGTGTACCTCACTTCCCCAGCCCGTGGACTTGCGTAAACACCAGCCTCCTCAAGGCCGTCTTTCAACTTCACATCAGTTGCGCCGCCATCAATCTGGACAGCTGCGCTCCTCGCCCTTGGGTGCAAACAGTGCAACTTCCAGCATCCGCGGGCATCCCGGTAGTAGTCCGCTTGCTTCTAGCCTCGTGTTGGCCGGGCGAACAACAACGCCAGCTATCCAGCCACCTCGAACGACGACCCAAACATACCTTATTGCAACGACCACAGTTCACAGCAACGCAAACATGGCCGACGCAGCCGGCGATTCAGGTACGTTGCAATTACACCACCAGAATCGTCAGTGATTGAATCTGTCTTCTGACGTTGCATGTCCTCGCAGCCGGGTCGAACTTGAATCTCACTACCGAGGAGAAGCGTGTTTTTGGTCAGCTGTTCAGGCAAGCCGATACCGACGGTGTTGGCGTGGTCACTGGTGAAATTGCTGTCAAATTCTTTGACAAGACACGGCTGGACTCCAAAGTCCTAGGAGAGGCTAGTTGCTCACCTCTCCCCGCCCCGGCGAAACCTGGAAACACGTGCGTGCTGTTTGGGCAGAAGATACTAACTACTGCTTGCGCAACAGATATGGCAGATAGCCGACAGTGAGAACAGGGGCTTTCTGACCCCGGCGGGCTTCAGCGCTGTTCTGCGCTTGATCGGCCATGCCCAAGCAGGCCGCGAACCGACGACCGAGCTGGCATCTCAACCCGGACCGTTGCCCCATTTCGACGGCTTCCAGCTCCCCGGCCTTTCGTCACCTCCCCCACCGCCACCAGCGACACTACAGGCTCAGAGTACTGGCGGGCCTGTTCGAATTCCGGCATTGACCCCCGAGAAGGTCAATCAATATGCCGGGTTATTTGAGCGTCAGGCTTTGCAGCCCGGGGGGCTGCTCCCGGGCGATCAGGCCAAGTCCATCTTCGAGAAGGCTGGTCTGCCAATCGAGGTGCTGGGACGGATCTGGCAATTGGCCGACACTGAGCAACGAGGTGCTCTTGTGCAGACCGAGTTCGTCATCGCTATGCACCTGCTCACCTCGATGAAATCGGGCGCGCTCCGTGGTCTTCCCAGTATCCTGCCAGCACCGCTCTACGAGGCCGCCACAAGACGTTTGGCCGCTCCACGTCAGTCGCCGACGGCTACGGGCCACATCTCCGCCATTCCTCGACAGCTGAGCGGCTCGGCACCCATACGCACAGGCAGCCCTCTCGGGCGTCCGCCCATCACAGCGCAATCGTCAACGGTGTCTGGGCCAGACTGGCTTGTCACGCCAGCCGACAAAGCGCGCTTTGATCAGCTCTACGACGACCTCGACAAAACTCGCAAGGGATACATCACGGGAGAAGAGGCAGTGCCTTTCCTCAGCCAGTCTAGCCTTCCTGAAGATGCCCTGGCGCAGATCTGGGACCTGGCCGACTGTAATTCGGAAGGCGTCCTGAACCGCGACACTTTTGCTGTGGCCATGTATCTTATTCGTCAACAGCGCACCAGACGTGATGGCTCTTCAGCATTGCCATCAACGCTACCCCCCAACCTTGTCCCACCAAGCATGCGCCAGCGGACTCGCCCCGCAGCTGCGACGGGCTCTCCCTTTGACGCTCCTGCACCTCCTCCACAAGCTCAGCCTCCCGTCGCGGCGCCCAAGTCCGCTCTGGAGGACTTATTTGGTCTGGACACGACCCCTACGCCAGCTGTGCAAGCCCAGGTGGCGCAGAACACGGGCGGTTCAAACGCCGTTGATCCATTCGCTGCGGGCGCCAACATACAGACCCCATCATCCCCTGTAAAGCCCTCGTCGCCGGCGAACACTCAGTTCAAGCCCTTTGTCCCTTCGTCCTCTTTTGGGCGAGGTCTGACTGTCCATGGCACTGGAGACTCGGCTGGCTCTGGTATTGGATCCAACAGAGCGGTTGGCGCAGCGTCAGACGATCTCCTGGGCGATAACGACCCTGAGATCAGCAAGAAGCTCACTAGCGAGACTGCCGAGCTGGCCAATCTATCCAACCAGGTAGGATCTCTGTCAAAGCAGATGCAGGAGGTTCAAGGGCAGCGAAATGCCTCACAGAACGAGTTCAATCAAGCCAGCGCACAAAAAAAGAACTTTGAGCAGCGCCTTGCACAGCTGCGTACGCTTTACGAGAAGGAAGCTGGCGATGTGCAGGCTCTACAACAGCAACTCAGCGATGCACGCAAGGAGACTCAGAAGCTCCAGGCAGAATGCATGCAGCTCGACACGACGTACCGAGATCTGCAGACGCAACACCAGCAGGTACTGAGTAGTCTCGAGGCTGACCGACACGAAAATACCGGACTGAAGGAGAAGATTAGAGCGGTCAACGCCGAAGTCGCCCAGCTCAAGCCTCAAATCGAGAAGCTCAAGTCAGAGGCGAGGCAGCAAAAGGGCTTGGTTGCCATTAACAAGAAGCAACTCTCGACGAACGAAGCCGAGCGGGAAAGGCTACAGTCTGAGGCAGCTGATCTCGCCAAGAGCCATAGTGAGGCCCTCTCTAGGCAAGACACTGGCTCCTCGCTTCCCGGCTCTGCATCTGTGGCCAGTCCGGCAGCGTCTGTAGCCAGCGCGAACAACCCGTTTTTCAAGCGAACAGGAAGTACCGACATCATGGGAGCCTTTGCCTCTCCAGCGATCAAGTCTTCTGCCGCCGATCAATCGTTCGACGACATATTTGGCCCTTCGCAGCCTCCCACCCGGTCGACTGACACCCCGCCCCCTCCCATCACGTCTTTCAAGCCGCAAACCACCGGAACATCTACTGGCAGTGTCAGCTCTTGGGCCACACCTCCTGCTGCGTCCCCTACCATGAGTCGCCAGCAGACCTTGACCGCCGAGCCCCCTGCGCCACCTGAGTCCCGTCAGATCAGTTCAAGCTTCCTGCCTTTTTCGGACGCATCTGAATCGCTTTCCTCATCACGCGCCGTGTCCCCACCAGCCTCCCGAGCCGGTGAACCCTTTGAGTCTGTTGTCGCAACACCCACACAGGCCCCCCCCGGTGCGTTCCCAGACGAACCGACTCCCACTGGTGAGGGCTCCGAGACACTTCGCGAGACGGGTTCAGCTAGCGAAAGCAAGGCCAGCGCAAATGACAGCCCATCAGCTGCAATCGGCGCTGTTGGCGCGACGACGGGTGGTGGAGGCGGTGATCCTTTTGCTGCCACGGATGAAGAAAAGGCAAAGTCGGATTTTGACAACGCCTTTGCAAGCTTCACCAAGGCTCACAAGGCCCCTGAAAAGTCCAGTAACGAGCCCATCAAGCCAGCTGTGGCCTTTGACTCCGAGTTCCCCCCCATCTCCGAGCTGGAGAGAGACGACGACTCTGATACGGCCAGCGAGGGTGGTGGATTTGATGACGATTTCGCGCCTGCTTCGCCTCCCAAGAAGCAGAACGAGGCTCCTGCTATTGCGCCTTTCGGCGATGGGTCAGCGGCGACTCAGGTGCCGGTGCCCAATGCTACTGTGGCGAATTCGAGTCTAACTGCAGTAAAGAACAACAGGTTTGTCGCCTCTATGCTTTGACCGTGCGATGTGACACCAAGGATCGAACATGCCTGCTGACATGCACAGTGAACCTACAGCACCCACCAGTTCACTCCAGCATGAGCCGACAAGCCCGGCCACACCCCAGAACGACAATCCGTTTGCACCGCCAGCTACAAGCGGCGCAAACGTACTGAGCCAACCATTCGACCAAGCGCCCCAAGCAAAAGGGGTCTTCGACGATCTAGACGACGATTTTGACGGGCTCGAAGACGCCAAAGAGGGTTCAGCTGACGATGACTTCCAGACCATCTCGAGATCCGGTTTGGACGACTTCAATCCCGTCTTCGACAGCAGCCCCCCTCAAAGCCAGGCAAAGAGCGAGCCTGCGACAGCTCCATTTGGGCAGGAAAGCAGCTACGACTTTGGCAGCGCGTCCACCACGTCAGCTACTCCTGCTGGTGCAGGTGCCGGTACAGCTGGGCCCGACAAGAGCTCGGCCGATGCCCATGATTGGGATTCCATCTTCGCAACTCTGGACTCCCCCAACGGCTCCGCCGCAGGTACCGCGGCACGTACCGCCGCTCCGTTGAATGCTCCGGCCCCAGTCGACATCCCCGTCCCGGCCCCGGCCGTAGCACCTGTTGCCGAACCGGAGTCGAGGCCTTTGCCCGCCAGGGGCTTGACCGAGGATGGCAAAGATGATGACCCGATTCTCAGAAATCTGACCAACATGGGATACTCTCGATCCGACGCACTTTTGGCCCTCGAGAAGTACGACTACAACTTGGAAAGAGTGAGTCGCGCACCGATTACCTATTTATCGTATTGGGGACTAACGAGACGTCAATTTCCAGGCTGCCAACCACCTCGCGAGCCAGTCGTGACAGTGACGAGTGGACCGGGGCGTAAATAGCGAGTACGGGTGGTAATTGTGATGATGGTGGCAGTAGTCCAGCTTGGATCTAGTTTTTCTCTGCATTCCCTCGAAGCGCCTTCTTCTAGCTTTCTCTTTTCAGTTTCTCCGGACGATGCTTCTCGCCTGCTGTGCGGAACATATGTCTTTGTTTCAGCAAGGGCAAATCGTTTCGCCAGCTGCCAGGCCGATGCCTTGGTACATCATCCTGACAGTATATGTAGGCTGTAGAATAATAGGCGTGATCTAATCGATGTCTCAATGCCGAGGCTCTGTGTTTGATATTGGTTTGTTCACGACGCAACACATCGTTGTGGAGTCAGCGAACCTGCTGGATATCTGTATGATCGAGGCCACATATGGACGTAATGGCTGTGTCTTGTACAACCGTCACATACGATTCTTTATCCGATCTATGATTCCAGCGACACTACGGGGGAACCATGGCACTGTCTCCTGCCAGAGAGAAGACCCCTCGACCAAGTGCTGCAGATGCAAGTAGAACGGCTACTTCCGGGCTTGCAGATATGGTTGGGCATATATGGCGCGGCATGGTAGCTGCCGAGGTGGAGTTTGATGCGCACCATAGGCGACATGGCATTGTCCCGAGGCAATCTTCCTCCCCAGTGGGAGCCGCGTACAGACGATGGAGCAGAACTGGGTCTTGCCTAGGCAAACATTGCTGCATCGCGACTCTACCCAAGGCAAACGACAAGGCAGTGGAGACAGGTACGCTAGGATGGCACCATACTATGCCGACAGGACCCGAACGTACTGAACGCTGGCCAATGAGTGCGTGCGATAAGCCAGGGCAACAAGTCAGCTAGCTGATACCAACCTTATACGACGGGGACCACCCCTAACAGGTTCCACGCTGCCCATAGCTCTAGAAGCCATGTCCGACGCCGGACAGCCAGACAAAAATTTCCTGGTGTGCAGCTACATGACTGTTGAGCAGCGCGCGATCTAGCAGCCTCCCCTTTTCCGCAACACCACAGCTCGACACAACTACCACGACCCGGCATTCAGTCCCAGATTAAAATCAAGATTCTGGTGACCCGCAGTTTGTACGCAAACATCGAACAAATCCCCCGATACCCCCCTAAACCCTCGAACATCACGAATTATGTCTCCGCCGTCAGTCTCGGGTCGACAGAAGGAGTCGAACCTGGCTAGACTCCTTGGATCCGGTAACGTGGCAATACCCATCGGCTATTTGAATACGGTCACTGACACGTACAAACTACAGGGTCCGCTGGTATTGCCGAGCTGGCCGTCTTCCATCCAGTGAGAACATGATCGAACGCAACATCACGACCCACACCTTCTGACACCAAGTGCACCTAGGTCGACACCATAGCGAAGCGTCTCATGAGCAACCAGACCAAGGTGCGATTCATGTAGCCACCTTTCGCGTTTCTTCGCGCTCTGACACCGAAGCAGATTACGAATGCCGCCGAATTGAACAAGGTTGTGTTCAGGGACACTGCGAACGCGGCAGCTGGCCGCAAGTTCTTCTCCTTGTTCCCCGGCCTGGGCTATGCTGCTGGCTACAAGGTGCTCCAGAGGATATACAAGTACGGCGGCCAGCCGATCGCGCGCGATTACCTGGACACCCACTACGGCCGTGATTTTGAGCAAGCCTTTGGCAAGAAGACGGGCAAGGCCGTGATGCACTCAACGGCAGGCAGGTGAGATGATCCATGTTTTGTGGGATGATGACGAACGACCTCAGCTAACAGGGCTTGATAGCTTGATCGGTATCGGTGAGATTGTTCTTCTGCCGCTGGATGTTCTCAAGATCAAGAGGCAGACGAACCCCGAGGCTTTCCGCGGAAGGGGTGTGTTTAAGATTGTCGCCGACGAGGGCTTTGGGCTGTACAGGGGCTGGGGCTGGACCGCGGCGCGTAACGCTCCCGGGTCTTTCGCAGTACGTGGTTCTCTTTCGATGGCTTGTACTGCGGACACTGACAAGATGTTGCGCAGCTTTTCGGAGGTTCCGCCTTCGCCAAGGAGTTCATCTTCCACCTTGAGGATTACAACAAGGCCTCGTGGTTCCAGAACTTTGTGGCGTCTATTGCCGGTGCCTCGGCTTCCCTGGTCGTTTCTGCGCCGTTGGATGTCATCAAGACGAGGATTCAAAACCGCAACTTCGACAACCCCGAGGGTGGATTCAAGATTCTCAGCAAGATGGCCAAGAACGAAGGCCTGTCCAGTTTCTTCAAGGGCCTGGTTCCCAAGGTACGTTGTACAAGCACGGACGCGCCGCGCCTTGCGCTGGTCCAACGAGCTGTGGCTAATTACAATTCACCTCTAGTTGTTGATGACCGGCCCGAAGCTCGTCTTCTCGTTCTGGCTGGCTCAGACGCTGATTCCTGCCTTCGACGGCATGCTGCCTAAATGATCTACCGGTGTCGGCGGTAAGGACGACCTGCCAACGCATCGAGGCGGTTTTGGACTGCGGTCCACGACTGACTTTGCCATGGCCGATGACGTTGGCTACATATGGTGGTGATGCTGAAGGGCGCGACCCGGAACGCCTTGATAGAGTGCATGCTTCATTGCATGGCGTACCTCGTTGTATAATAGAAATGAAATTTTAATTGAAGATCCTTTGGAAACAACCCACGGAAGTGTTCGGCTGGGCAGTCTTCTGCATAGTGGCCCTATGTCCTCGGCGTCGAAGGGAACTTTGGCAGCTGTGACATGACTGAGCCAATAGAGACAGAGCTAGCTATCTACCTGTGGGCCCGGGTTCGGTACATGCACAGTCGAGGCTCAACTGCTGTTGTGATTCACGAAACTTGGCAAGGCGGACAAGGTACCGACGGCAATCTGAGGTACCTATAGTGAGGTGCTTGGGTAGTAGCTCAGCTTTAGTGGTCCCAACCCAGTCCGGGGCCTTATTGGGTGCACGTAGGCAAATGACGTGCCAGCTTCCGCCGAGCACGAGCCCCGACGCTGTCGTTGCTGTGGCAACATGACAGCAACACAAGGGCTTTGGGCGCGTCACCAACCCCATTGACAGAGCAAGGCAGGGGGTGTCAGCTATCCAACCAGGTAGGGATCCCCTCTACGACTAGCTCGCATATCAATAAACGAACCTCCAAGTCCACCTCGTCTGAGCTTTCCATGTTGGTACACAATCGACAACACCAAGCTGGTCGCCAGGCCGAACACAGCCCTTGTTACTATTCCTCTCTCTCACGACTGATCATATTGCGCGTTGAACCATTCGAGGACTGACAAGGACGACAAGCCAGGAGCTTGCGTATCAACGCAGAAACCATTCCTTTGGTGGAAAAAAAAAAACCCCCATTGAGAGTGGACATTCCAAGCATCCGCGACATCCTCTCCAGAGACCCTCAACATTCCAACTCAACCAGGACTACTGCCGGAATGCCGCTCATGGACCGTGACCCCTCTTGGGAGGGAGAAGGCCATCTCAGGCATCAGCACTCGGCATCTTCTGATCATGGTCGAGCACTCATTCCCATGTACGTGCGAGCTCGTCATAGTTTCTTACTAAACACCATGTTTTCGTGTGCTTCGGCAGAATGACTTGGTCCAAGCTAATCCGCCAAAGGTGGGATAGCTCTGATCCCGAACGCGCGCCTCCGCCGCTTCCACTCAATCCTCAGTCGCCCAGCATCTCGCCGCGAAAGGGTACATCGAGCGCAATACAGTCTGCTCACGCTACACTCGCCGAAAGGGCCCGCGAGAGCAGCGGCATGCCCAGCCCTTTGACAAAGCGCACAAACGATAGCTCCCCAGACAAGTCTCTTGTCAGAGGTCCTCAACACCGACGAATGCAGTCGCTTCACACCGGCACCGTCCGCGACATCAGCCTCTTGCTCGAAAACGGGCCCCAGCCTGGGCCTTCCTCTCCCACGAAACCTGCCGAGAAGAACTTGCGGCCCTCAACCCCTTCCAGGGCACCACATAGCTTCTCCGAGTCGGTTCTGTCGGACAAGGAGAACCACGCCATCGTCACCTCTCCAACGCCGGGACCGAGCCTGACGCCGATCGTCCGTCCGACTGCCCGTAGAACGCACCAAAGCATACTCGGAGACAACACGCCGCCACAGTCCGCAACCATGCTGGCCCTTCAACACGTGCCCTCTCCGGCCCCGGCCCCGAAGGAGGCCGAATCACCTCTCCAGAATGCCAATCCTGCACCCACATCGACGGCCCTCGTGCGTGCTCCGCTGAACTTCGACGGGCTTTCCAATCAGATCTTGAGCCTTACAAACATAGCGACTGCGCTCCAGAGAGACATGGCGCAACTGAGCCGCCGCAGCCGGGACAATGCGACCGATCTCTCCAGTCTCAAAGAAGCCACGACGGCCCGGGACGAAGATATCCGTAAAAGCATCCGCGAAATGATGACCAATCTCAACGAGGTGAATTCCCGACCACTCTCGCGGGACCCTTACGGTTCAGGGTTGTATCTCGACAACAAACCACACTACGGCTCGGTATCGAAGTCTACCAGGCCCTTCTCCCTCCCCAGGATCCCGTCCCCCACCAGCTTCTCAGCCTCCTTGGACCGCGATTCCGTCAGCACACCATCGCTGTGCTCTCAGGATGCATCCGGCTCAGTCGCCATCCTTGAAAGGGTCATGCGGGACATGGGCACCAAAGAAGGGCAGGACTTGCTATTGAGTCGTCTGTCCGAGGTTGCTGACAGGCTGGCTGGTGTGGCCCCAGCAGCAAAGGTTGAAGAACTACTCAACCTCGCCAAGAAGAGTTCACAACACGCCAATGTACGCGGACAGGACAATAGCTCTCCAAACCGCAATCCAAACTACGCCGACAAGAGATCTGCCAATCTAGAGGTCGGATTCGATGATAACTCGCCCGGCCCGGTAGCGCATAGAATGGCAGCTCTTGTCCGCGATGACAACCGGCAGAACTCCTCTGCCCTGGCCGTCAAAGCCAGTGAACCCTTGAGTGACGACTTTGTCAAGGTCATCCGCGGTGTCAAGGACAGTATTGCTCAAAGCGGTGGTCTCACGGCCGAGGTCAAGGCTCTCGTCCGCGAGCTTCGAGGTGAAGTCCTCGGCATGGGCCGCGAAATCGGCCGCAGACTCGATGAGGTCAAGGACACGGGCAATGACGCCGATGAAGCTGCCAGCAAGGAAGAGATTGCTAAGATCGTCGACGAAGGTCTCGATCAGATGAAGGAACAGATGAGTGAGCTGGTCCGGGAACACCGACGATCGTCCACCGCATCAGCGGCGTCTCGTGCCAATGCGATCGACTACCAGGAAATCTATAACGCCATGCGAGCTGCTCTCCGCGACGCGAAGGCCGCCGGGCCGCAAACTCCAGACCTCAGCCGGGAAGACGTTGTTGAGGCTGTCAGGCTAGCTTGGGAAGATTACAAGCCGCAGGTTGAAGCCGAGGATTTGTCATTCGGTAGGGAAGATGTCCTTGAATACCTCAAAGAAGGACTTCAGGACTACGTGGCGCAAGACGACAGGGTTCCTGGCGCCACTAGAGATGAGGTCTTCCAGGCCGTGGTTGAAGGTCTGAAGCATTTCGTGCCACCAAGAATGGATTCCGCAACGGCACTATCACGCGATGAGATTCTTGACGCCGTACGAGAATGCTTGGAGGAATTCGAATTCCCTGTCGCACCATCAGCCATGAACGCAGAGCTCTCTCGTGACGACATGGTTCACGCAGTCCAGGAGGGTTTGCGAGGGTTCGATTTTCCTCAACCCACCTCGCTCCTTGCACCACCACGCGACGACAACGACATCAGTTCGCGCCTTCAACAGTTGATGGACTATCTACGCCAGGAGTTTAACGCAGTCTCTGAAGAAGCCAAACAGAATGTTGCCGCCAATGGGCGGGACACTGAGCAGGTGCTCGACGCGACCAAGGACGGCCTTGAGAGGCTCCGCAGCGACATGGAAGAATTGATGAGCCATATCAATCTCGAGCGTGGCACGAGCGTGGAACAAGAAGAGCTCATGGAAACTCTGGCTGAGGCATTGGACGGTCTACGAGACGAAATGGCTTCCCTGGTCCAGAAGGCCACAGAGGACTCCAGGCTCATGATGGAGTCCCACATGGACTCACTACGCGACACAGTTCACTCATCCATGGTACCAGTCAGTCCTCAGAATAACAATGCAGATGTCCTCGAAGCAGTCAAAATCGGCCTCGACAGCGTGCGAGCCGAGATGCATCGCCCTTTCGCTGGCCATGCCGAGATCCTAGATGCCCTCCACGAAGGCTTGGCAGACCTACGCTCCAGCATTGATAAGGTCGGCGACCGACCGGTGGATCTCACGGCCAACGATGAGATTCTAGATGCTCTGAAAGCAGGCCTGGATGGTGTCCGGTCAGAAATCGACGCGCTGCGTCAGCATGCGCAAGAGGATAAGGCTGTCACCACCATGAACGACAACGCCGTCGTGCCTGCCGCTCCCGCTGACGCGCTGCGTCATGATGATATCAAAAACCTCGAGGTCCTCATCACGCAGCTTCGCATCAAGGTGGAGGCCATGAATGTGGAAACTTTCGAGAAACCGGCACGGGAGACGAGCGCAGGGGAGGACTTCACTCGCCTCGAAGACATGCTGCGCGGTGTTCAGGAGTCAGTCTCGGGGATCGCTCAGGAAAGAGAAGCGCCCGTCAAACCTGCGAGCACCGACAGCGCATCCAGGGAGGACGTGGAAGCGATCGAGACAATCCTGCGCAATACAAAGGCCAAACTCGACGATCTCATGGACGGCGAGCAGGCTATCCGCAAAGAACATCTGGATAGTGTTGAGGCTTTGGTGGCTGATACCCGCGAGGCAGTCAGCAATGCCGCAGCACAGATCGAAGGACTGCCAAGCAAGGACAACATGCTGACACTCGAGGCTTTGGTGGCACAAATTGCCAACGGGCTCGAGGAGACGAAGGAACAGGCCACCAAGGGGCTGGCCGACCCAGAGAGAGTGACCAAGAGTGACGTTGATGCTGTCGGAGCTGCGTGTCTGGACATCAAGACTTCTTTTGAGCAGACGATCAAAACGGACATGGCTGCCCTGGCTTCAGGCGAAGATATACAGACCATCAGCACCACCCTCGAAGATCTGAAAACCCGCGTTGAGTCGACTGGTGCCCTGCACACAGCAGCGCTTGAAGAGCGACAAGCCGAGATCGTAGGGGTAGGCGAGCGAGTCTCCGATGTCAAGACTCTACTGGAGGAGTTCCAAACCTTGGCCAAGGGCAAGCTGGAGGATGGAGCCACTGGCATCGAAGCCCTGGGGAAATTGCTCGAGGGCGTCTCGGAAACGGTCGAGCTTAATGCCGGCGTTGGCCAGGAACTGAAAGAGCTCTCTGATATCATAAAAGCCGAGTTTGAGGAATCGAAGGCAGGCGTCGTCGGTGCCAAACTCGACACTGACGAGAAGTTCAGCGAGATCACCGAGAAGCTGGGCGCCAAGATCGAGGAGAAGATCGCCGAGCTCATGCTCAAGTATGACGAGTTCCAGACTTCATCCGACGAGCGGACTAAGGCAGGAGAGGCTCGTGACGCAGAAATCGACGCAGCATTGCTGAGCACAAAGAACGTCGCCGAAGAGCTGAAGACCCTTATCGACACCCTTGGTTCCGCTGTCACTGACTCTCTTGAAAAGATGGAAGAGGCCTCGAGAACAGTCTTCAGCAAAGTGGAAGAGCTCGCCAACAAGACAGAAGAAAACGACTCCAACGACAAGACCGAGCACCAACAGACTCGGGATCAAATCACACAGGCCATCGCCTCTGTTGGTGCATTGCAGGGGCAAGTTGGCGACTTCCAGCCCCAGATTCTCCAGGCTGTCAAGGATGTCCTGGTCATTGTCGACCAGCATTATGAACACTCTAAGTCATCGGCAACCGACCTTCACAGCAGGCTCGAAGTCGCAAAGGCAGAGCCCGGGCCACCTCTCTTGCCTCCCATCGAGAAGTACGACGACACAGTCGTGCACGAGAAGCTTGACCAGCTTGTGTCCAGCACGGAGAAATACGATGACACAGCTGTGCAGGAGAAGCTCGACAAGCTCGTTGAGAGCACCGAGAAGTACGATGATGCTGTCATGCAAGAGAAGCTGGACCGATTGGTCAACCACACCGAGGAGGCGGACAAGGCCTTTTCTCAACTGCAGACGCTAGAGCAGGTTCATCAACAAGTCATGGCTACAGCTGCCGAAATCTCATCGTTCCTCGCAAACCAGGCGAAAGAAGTCGCCGAGGCCAACGATGCCAAAGAAAAGTCCTTGCAAGAGACGACTCTTGCTCTGGAGCGGCAGCTCGTTCACAAGGACCAAGTTGACCAGAATCTTGCGTCCCTTCGACAGGAGGAAGATCTCCTGAAGGACTCGATTAAAAGTCTTCGAATGGAACAAAACGCGATGAACAAGCAGAAGACGAGGTTGACAGCTGATGTCTCGTCGCTCGAGATGGCATTGCGCATCCGTCGCGAAGAGCTGCACGAGATGGAGAACCGAGCCGAGGGATTGGAGCGCAGGATTCTCGAGGGCGTCATGGACCACTCTCGCGTTCTTCTCATGTCCAAGGCTGCGAAAGGTCAGGAGATGATGAACCGCAAGCGTGTCAAGGTGCCAAAGACATCGTCACGTGCGTCAGCGGAAACGACCCAGCAGCCGCGCGCTTCTCCTGCTGTCAATCTTGCTCTCTCTGCGAAGCGCAACCTGGCGCCTCCGGGAGTGAACAGCCCAGGCCGCCGCATTTTGTCTCTCAGCCAGATTAACAACAATGTGCAAAGTGGAGGTGTGGCTCGAAGCCAAAGCGTACGGACCCCAGCCGCGGCTGGCCGTTCCCTCCGCAAGAGCAGCTGGGGTGGTGGGTTCGACAAAGACCGCGGTGCCCAGAATAAAGAAAACATCTCGGTACGGGAGGTGGATGAAGACTCTGATCTGCCTTCCTTTGACACACCAAGTGGCTTGCGGCGGTCCGTTGGTCAGTCTGCTGCTGGCGATGATGCCAGTGAGACAGACACTCTTCGGCGGACTAGTCAGGGCACAACCATTTTCACCGAGAGTGTGACGGACAGCATGGTCGGAGAGGACGACAACAGCACAAGACTGGATTATTCAGATGATGATCTGCAAAGCCAATGGACGGAGAGTGCTGTCGGGTCCGACCTTGGTGCGGGAGCTGCTGGAGGCAACGAAGTCATGCTGTACGAGAACGGGCTCGGGGCATGATGCGCTGGGGCAAGTTCGGATTTCGTCGCAACGAACTCGCGGGAGTTTTCACGGGTGGGCGAGGCAGACATTGGGATAAGTTTGAGTTCTCGTGGAGCAGGGGATAACGGATATCGGGGTAATCGGTCTTCCTGTACCCCCACGTTTTTGATCAGTATTTGTAGCGGTAACGACAGTAATGACAATCGTCCTAGTATTACATTCTGAGTGGAGCACTATGGCCAGGTTGGAGATTTACAAGTGACTTTCCTTCTTCATCCGCTGCGGTGCGATGTGATGACGGTCTTGCCATCCATCCACGGCCTCAGACATTCGGGAATATGAACCGTCTTTTCTTCTTCGTTCCACCCGTTCTCCAAAAGTGCGGCCAGCACCCTCGGCACTGCAAGAGCCGTCCCGTTGACAGTCCAAGGGAACGTCAATTGGCCGTCTATCCGGGCACGGGTGGCTAACCTCCTCGTCTGGTAGTCTGTACAGATGCTAGCAGACGTCACCTCACCCCAGCCACCTTGCTGCTCCTGGCGCGAGGGGAAGAAGGCCTCGATGTCAATTTTACGAAACGCGGAAGCCCCGAGTTCGGTCGTGGGCATCTCCAGGACGCGGCAGCTGAGGCCGAGAGATTCCAGCAGCTCCGTCTGCATGTCCAGCATCTCGTCGAAAATTTCAGTTGTGTCATCGAAGTTAGGCGGCGTCCAGGCAAACAGCTCCACCTTGGTGAACTCGTGCACTCTGTACAAGCCTTTGGTGCTCGCACCACGGGCACCCGCCTCGGCGCGGTAGCATCGCGAGACGGCAACGCGCTTGGCGGGAAGGTCAGACTCGCTCAAGGTCGAATTGGCTTTCATCCCTGCGAGAGGAATCTCTGACGTGCCCGCGAGCACAAGCTCGGGCTTGTCGCGTTCGACATCTTCGGCCGGGCGCGCGATCGAATAGATCTGCTGTTCATCGTTCTGGTCGCGAGGCTGGTAACCGCATGCATTGGCGATGTGGCTGTAGACCATGGAAGGGGGGGCGACCTGGCGCCAGCCGTGGCGGACGGCTACTGCCAGCGCGTACTGTACGAGGGCCTGTTCGAGCTGGGCGGCTTCGTCCAGTAGGTAGTAGAACCCCCAGCCTGACGTGCTGCCGGCGCTGGCAAAGTCGAGAATGCCCAGCTCCGCACCAATGTGGACGTGAGAGCGCCAAATTCGGTCCGATGAGGAGGCCTTCTCGAGGTGCTGCTCATTGATCTGGCTGAGGAGAGTTGGCTCTTCGCCAACAGGAGACTCGGGGCTTGATAGGTTCGGAACCGTCGTAGCAAGCGTCTGCATTTCTTCGACCAGACGTGCCTCTAGCTTTTCAACGCCGGAAAGCTCCTTCTTCAGTCTGCGCGCCTCTTCGAGCAGTTGGTCCTTTGTGAGCGAGGAGATATCATTGGCAGTGCCTTCAGCATCGCGAACTGTGGGGTTCGCGATGCACCGTCGAACTTGGTTGGATCGCTCCCTCAACGAACGCGATGAGCGCTGATGATCCTGCCATTGCTTGAATATTGCTGCGATGCGTGCCGGATTCTCACTGTGAGCTCCGTAGTTCCTGTTGCGACAGTTTTCTGCGTGGAGGTCTGCATTCTCTCGTATGTGTTTGATGTCAAGCGTTGGCTTGGGCGCTATTGACGGCCGTTTCATGTCTGCAAATGAGCGACGGAATTTGCCATAGGAGACTCCTCTCGTCCTCCTCAGTCCCGCAGAAGTGCATCCCACTCGCGCAAATGGAAGCATTGTCGTTGTTGTACGCACCTGTGCAGGACCCTCGATACACGGCGTGGAAGTGTAGACTAGGTACTATTGCATGAGTGATCGTACAGTGAGTTCGTAGCATGCTTGAACTGACTTAATCGAGAAGTCCATGCCCATGTTCAGAAAGTGGTATCTCGATAAGCAAGATAAGGAGGTTGATCAGTAATGGGGGTTCTCAACTAGTGGCGTTTATTTTACTACCGCATCTACACAGCTCCCCAGGCTCCCAGGGTCCAACTTGCCGAGCCTCCCACCGAGGCACCGCGCATGAGCCCAGGTCCCAGGCTCTGCCTCTGTTGCGCTTTCACGTCAACTTCCCCAGGGCGAGCGGCCCCAGCGACACCTTGCTGCAGCCACGCTTCACGGTCAATGTTTGCGACCGCCATTGCTTTAAGGTGGGCAATCATACTGGCCCCAGCCCAGGGTCCTAATGTTTCCAGCACTCGAACGCTGCCCTGTAAGCTTTCGAGAGGGTTTCCAGTTCGCTGCAGGAGCTGTTGTACACTGTCATGTTCCGGAACTGCGTTGGCAGCGTCATGCCAGACGTCATCTTTTTGCCCGTCTTCTCCCACCACCGCTGCTTGTGAATGCGCACGGCTCCGGCTTTTACTATGCTTCGCTTTAGCCTTGACTTGTTGTGCACCATCGCCGTGAACTGGATCCCAACCCCATAGGCCTACCAGACGAGACAGTTCGTCTGACAGTCGCTTGCGAAGACCGGGAATGTTGGAACACCCGCCTGTGAAGATGATGCGCGACATACTCACCGCGCGCGCATCGATAGGCAGCGATAATAAGTGGCGATAGATAAGTAAGGGAATGGGCAATTCGTCGTCATCAAAGCTGCTTGGCGTGTACTGAGGGGCCACAAATGTATTCTCGCAAGGCTCTGATAGGCGTTGGAATGGGAGCTCGATGATTTCAGGGGGCGAACAAGACGACATGCCTAGATGCATATTCCTGACCGTATGGTGCTGTCTGACTTCGTCTTGGGCCAAAGAGGTGAATTCGTCCCGTTCCTCCACAGTTGCCAGTCCTGGCTCATCCTCAGGAGCCGCGGCGCGGTCAAGCTGCTGACACCACGTCATGCGACAGGCAATATCTTCGCACTCGTCGAAACCAAAGACACGAATTGATCGCCGAACTCCGTCTGCATCCGAGGTTTCAAGCCGCGTCGGCGGTTGCTTGCGCGCCGAGGCTAAAAGTTCATGCACTTCGTGTACAAGCATCTTGCCGCTCCTTGTGCTCCTCGTATGGCGGATCTCTCGGTATTCGTAGACGCTCGACACAACCGTCTCGGCCCAGCCCAAGTTCACAACAATTGCGGACCGTACTCCAGCGCCAACAGCAGCGGTAACAGGACATGACAAAATCGATACCAGTGGTGTTTGAAAGCGATGGAATAGGGTATCGAGAATGGTTGAAACTAACGGCAAAGGCAGCGCTGGAGGTAGAACGAGGAAGACACGGCGGGGTCGGGAATCGATTAGAAGATTTCTGTAGCCGTGTCAAACACTGGGTGGACTCGACATCTGTGTCAGTGGTGAGGATCTACGTACTTCGTGAAGGCTTCACGCAAGAGGCGGTCCAGTTTGTCTCCCACGAGACCAAGGTCTAAGCACCGTAGGTCGGACGTCCATAGTTCGTGAAGATGGCCCCATTCAATAGATGGAAGGTCTGTATTCGGAGGCACGGACGACGGCGCCGTTGATGACCGTGGAAGCCATGATGTAAAATCACCAACGCGGCGTTGTTGTACCGGACCTGGAGAGACTATGGCTTTAGGAACCGAGTCTCCTGCGAACCCAATTCGGACGAAACGCGTCCCTATCTCGATCACAATTGTCTCCTCTTCAGCGCGGAGAGTGGAAGGCGACCCAAAGGCAGACGTCGTGCCACGAAGCGGAGTGTGTGGGCTGGGCGGACCAGCCTGCGGACCAGCACCAGAGCGTATATTGGAGATGGAGCGGTGCGCTAGACCAGGTGTCGCCGATTGTGCTGAGGTCGACATGGTGGTTTGTGTCAACTGCTGAGAAATGGTGGAGACCGAGGCGCGGAAAGTCGAAAGCTCAAATGTCGGTGCTCGGAGCTAAACAGCTCCGGCTGTGTATGTCTCACTCAACACAGTGATATTCTTTTAATCGACATAGCATGATGCGCTCATGTTACCACGGTAACGATGTCAGGTAACGTCATCGAACGACATCGCGACCTTGTCTTTACCCTTATGTGCCTTGCCTGCCCTTATTCACGAATATGCTGTTTGATATGTAGCGTGTGAATTCTGATTTTAGCTCCTAAGGCTTCTAGGACCACCCAATTGCTGCATCAGGGCTCATCTGTGCTTGGCCAACGCGATTCGCTTGACCAGCGATCCACAGCGACATACGCATCAGATGGGTATCAAGGGGTATGCCTCACCCATGACATTGGTTCCTGACACATAAATTGTTGACATGCACTCAGAATATACCGTGAACTTGGCCCCGGCCAGAGGATCTCACTCGCCAAGCTCGCTACCGAGAGCCTGGAAAACACAGGGAGGCCTCTCCGCGTCGCCATAGATATCGCCATATGGCAGTTTCAAACGCAGGCTGCTAAGGGTATAATTTGACTCCAAACCCCTCTCCTGTCGTGCTTCTCGTGATAACCCTTATTCCTAGGGGGCACAAATCCCGCTATTAGAACACTCTTTTACCGGCTGGTCCGACTTGTTGGACTCCCTGTGCAACCGCTGTTCGTATTTGATGGTCCCAATAAGCCTCTTTTCAAAAGAAATAAGCGCTCTGGACGTGGAGATGGCATTGCTTCAGCCATGGCCAAACGTCTTATTCGCCTCTTTGGTTTCCCCATTCACCAAGCCCCGGGCGAGGCCGAAGCAGAATGTGCCCTCCTGCAGCAGGAAGGCTTGGTTGACGCTGTCCTCAGCGAAGACGTCGACACCATCATGTTCGGCTGTAGCCGAACATTTCGCAACTGGTCAGCCGAGGGATTGCGGGGAGGGAAATCGCCAACACATGTCACTGTTTATGACACTAACGAGCAGAGCTTGGTTGCCTCTGGACTTGATCGTCAGGGCATGGTTCTGGTTGCATTAATGAGTGGTGGCGACTACCTCCCTGAAGGTGTGCCCGGCTGCGGGTTGAAGCTGGCTTGCGAAGTGGCTCGAGCTGGTTTCGGCAAGAGCTTGTGCAGCCTTAAAGCAGCAGACAAGACCGGCATCGATGAATGGAGAGCAAATCTCACCCACGAACTACGCACCAACGAAAACAAGTTCTTCCGCACGAAGCATAAAGCCATTGTCATACCGGACAACTTCCCCGATGTCAAAGTCTTGCGGTTTTACACCCACCCGGCAGTCTCCTCGAAGGCAGCTGTGGAGAACCTAATCGGGTCGGTCGAGTGGTCCAGACCTGTCGACATTGGCGGACTCAGACGGTTCACTGACGAGGTTTTTGACTGGACAAATCGGCCGGGCGCTGTCAAACTGATCAAGGTGTTGTCCCCGAATTTGCTTGCTCAGAAGCTCTTTGCACGTTACGATCACATCACGCAGTCGCTCGAAAGTCACAGACTGGAATCATTAGAACAACAAGAATTGGCGCTTGTTCAGCGCATATCGGCCAAGAGAAGCCATTTCAGCACGGACGGCATCCCGGAGCTTCGAGTCTTCCACGTGCCAGCTGACATCGTGCCACTGGATCTATCACAAGAGTCGGACGAAGTGGCAGAGATGGGAAGGCAGGCCCTCGCACTCAACAGTGATGGCGAGTTCGAGGGGGCAGTGCCAAGCAACAACGATGTCGAGGCTGGCGGGCAAGTCGCCAGGACAACCTTCGACCCGACTACCGCACAAGCAGTCTGGCTTCCCGAGAGCCTCGTCAAGTTAGGCGTGCCACTCTGCGTTGAGGATTGGGAGGAGAGGCAGCGAGCCAAGATAGATGTGATGACCGCGTCAAACCTGGCGAAGCAAAGGAAGAAGAAGACAGCCGGAAGCAACACCAACAAAGCCCCAAATACACTCGACAAGTGGGTGAAGTCAACCAAATCCAGGCCTCGAGAGTGTCCCGGAAAGAACGTTGCCGTACCACCGGTTTCGCAGAGCCTCAGTCACTTCAAACTACCTCAACCACTGCCCTCCAATATTACGAATTTCGGGGGCCATCAACCTCGGGAACCAGCGACCTCAAAACCACACACGTCGCCGAACCGCCCGCTGGCGTCACTGCCTCGAAGTAAGCCACTCACATCCAAGTCTGCCGGGAAAGCGACCACCATAGGAAGCATGCAGCTATCAAATCCATGGGCGTTCAGTGGCTCACACCATACGCCTAGGACAACCAAGCCTGACGGGCACACAGAGTCGTTTCTTATCGAAACTAGCCCCGAAGCTTCGAAAGATATGCCAGTTAGTCTGGACGTAACATGCAACGATGCCTTGGATGCGGGGATGAAAAACGGACCGCAGCGCGATGGACGACACTCCCAGTTTTCTGGGGACGAAGGTTTAGGAACTGCGCGGCACAACGGGGTTCCGGCGAGAGATAACAGGCTTCGCACACGGGAGACAGACCCTTCTCGGAGCGAGCCCAAAAAGATGCGACCCCTAATCACGTCAAAGTGCACAACCAAGGCATCTCAGAGCTCAGCACAACCGGAATCAGCTTTATCAGGCAGTGTAGTAGGCCGCGATGCCATCTCTTCGTCGCGCCATGATCATGCCGGTCGAAGTCATGTCATCGAGCGACCAGCCAGGCCCCACGGTGCGGAGGTTAGGAAAAAACTTGAGGCTGTATTGTCTGCAACAAGATCCGCAAGCAAGGGAAAGCTCATCGCACCACGGGCCAGTGCGTGCGGATTCTTTAAAGAGATCGACTTGGGCGATTATGAGGCTGCGCAACCTATGGTCCACGACGGCGAACAAAGGGTCGGACATCAGCGGGCAACGAGTATCCAGCAGAGGATTTGGAATCACAGCCATGTAGCGGTTATCGACTTGACCGGGGAGGATTGAGGCAGGTCAAAAGATAGAATTGCGAAGCACAGCTGCTTGATCTGTCTTGGTTCCAACTCGCAAATAGCAACAGGGTATCCTTAGAAAAAAGAAGCTAGAAAACAGGAAGAACTTTACATGCTGCCACGTGTGCCATCCACCTTGACGTACGTCTGTTAGCGAATAGTATACACACACTGCTCGCGGTCCCCCAAACACAGACGAGTCTCCCTATCATGACTCGTATCGCCACGGAAGGTCCCGGTCACTAACCGTGACACATGTCAGGTAAGTGATGGCATCTGTCGACCTTCCGCCGCCGAGTTCCAGCTCCAGGCGGCTACTCATCAAGGGGCGCACAATCTCACGCGCCATGGACTTGACCTCGTCAATTCGTTTCTCGAAACGTCGCAGATTATCCCGACTATACAACTCGGGTGTGAGCTTCAAGAATCGCTTGCAATCGTCATGACTTAAATAAAGTGAAGCGGCGGGTGACCCCAACATGCGGAAAGCCCTTCCTGCTGCGGCCATAGGTGGCGCCTGGGGGTGAAGTGGGCCTACTTGAAGCTCGTTTTGACGGCCGGTTCGCGATGACGAAGTGTAGTGGTCGGGTGCTGAGGAGCCAGTGTTCTCCGCGAGCCATTGTCGGAAGAGACTGAGAGCCAGCCAGTCGAGGTAGGCCGTGCTGGGTGTTACCCGGTCACCCCGCGCCGTGAACAAGCTCAGGCGGAAAAGGCGGCTCTCAACACGGGTGACCATCTCCTCAAGCTCGTCGACCTTGTCTTCGATGATGTCGAGGACGCCATCTGGAAGCGCGGCACGCAGACTCCTTTCACCGGCAGGCCACTGGCCAACAACATGTATCAGAGCTTCCTGAAAAATGACCCTGCTGCGAGCAAGATAGCCAAGCCTCAGGTAGGAAATGGGATATTTGGCTATCTGTTTCCAGAGTCTTGACTGAAACTGGAGTAGGTGATGGTCGACTCTGGGCCCGACAACAGCCAGCGCGTCGTATTGGTCGGCGAGACTGAGTAGGGACTTACACTGCACGTAGGCATCGGCAATGTTGACGCCGTCGAGCTGCGGATGGTAGTTGTAGAATATGCGGAAAAGATTGTCGTAGTCGCGAAGCAGATCAATGTCGGCTTGCGAGAGTGGGGGGCCAGCCGGGGGCGCGGGCACAAGGCTGAGGTTGGCGACGGAGCGGAAGAAGCTATGGCTGGAATGCACAGACGAGGAGTGCGCGTGGCGGGATGGCTTGCTGCCGCTGTTGCGACCAGAGGAAACAGGCAGCTCGGAGCCGACGGAGCCAAAGAGAGAGGGAGTAGAGGCGGCGACATCATGTTTCTGGACAAGCATTGGAATGTCACCATCCCCAACTCCGGGGTCGAGCTCATAACACCATCTCTTGCGTGCAGGCGAGCTGGGCGCTCGTGTTGCCGTCAGTTGATCATCGCGACCGCGACCGGGCCGTGTAGTAGAGGACGACGAAGACGAAGAGGGTTCCGGCAAGGACTGGGCGCGGGACCACTCTTGGCTTGTGCTGGCCTCGAAGAAGCCAGAGCAACGGGTCAGAGTGTGGCGATGCAGGAGGTAGCGGTTCTGATGGTCGGCGACTCGAACTAGTATCTCAACGTCGCCGCTTTGCGTGAACACAGGGAACTCGTTTTGAGGTATGAATGAAGTGCCGCCGACGTGGGAACGGTTGTATCGCTTCGTGCGGGATGACGATGACGGGCGGGAGACGACCGAGGACGAGCCTCGAATAGTGAGCGAATTGGACGTGTCGGGCTGCGAGACCATCAAGGCGGGTGGGGTCGAAGACGGGCCAGGTGCCGGCAAGGCGTCTGTCTGTCTGACGGGCAGAGATGAAGCAAGGGCGTAGTAGCAAGACGATGAGTCTTAAGAGGGCGAGAATTTCTAGGCGTCGCGATGAGAATTAATGTCGATGGAAGCTTTGGCTTTGGCTCAGGAACATGACCTAAGCGTCCCAGCAGTTGGTTGAGCAAGAGCGCTTTGCTTCATACTGTAGGGCATGGTCAAAGGCTCGGCAGGCCCCCCTTGTATCGCCATTCGACGAGGCTGCCTAAACTGGCCTGGTATCGGATCCAGCGACTAGACAGGCGCAAGAACTGCACCAGAGGCAGAAGCAGGTTTGTGCATGGTCCCGAGGCAGGACGACGTGCGACATCAAGGCACGAGGCAAAAGGTCACGGACAACCATGGCCTATCACTCAAGGGCAGTCCAGACTCCTGGAGAGCCCAGCGGTCTGTGAACCTATGAGACGGCGCCGGAGGCCCTCCCACACTGGGTCAACAGCTGCGGATTTGCCACTCCCCAGCCACCAGTCAGTCCTCCCAGAAGCTCACATGGAACCACGGTCAGGGCGCTGAGCAGTCATGCAATGCCGACAGGCCATCGACCATCCAGATAAGAGGATGGGAGAAACGGCGCAGAACATGCATTCAAAACGCGGTTGCTCTTCGTTCTCTGCCGATTTTCGGGATCGAATCAAAATGTCTTCCAAGATGAAATACAAAGTATGACAACGCCACAACCATAACCCCTCCAATTCAGTTAGCCGATGAAGAGCAACAAAACAGATAGAATCCCTGTCCCGACCGCCAGTGCGTTTCTCCCTAGTAGTTCGCCCCAAGTCAAACCCCTCTCTCCCTTCCTGTTAAGTTGTGCACAAACACACACACACACACACATTCGCCTCGTTTTCTGCAACTTGAAACGTGATATTGGCAAGAGGAAACTACCTTTCTACCATCAATTCCTCCCTTGGATTTGGTTTACCTCTGGCAGCTGTCGATTTCTTAATGTGTTCAGTTCATCTCTGTGTCCGTCTGCAACCCCATCCTGAAGGCCGGCGCGGCATCGTTTGGGGCCGTAGCGCCGGGGGATTCGGCGGCTGTCAGGACCTCGGTGCCCTCAAACACAGGCGGCGAGCACTTGAGGTTCTGTAGCGCCACGTCCGCCCTCGTGCTTACGAGTTGGCCCTGTCGCAAGTCCTCAGCGAAAAGAAAGAAGCCCTCCGTTGCCTCCACCAAATAGGCTTGTAGGCCTCGGCTCTCCAATCGAAGTGTGACCGCGGACAACGGGTAGTGATTCTCGATGTAGCGGGACCATCCTCGAGCTGCTGCTTGTATGTGCTCGTCTTGACTGATCTTGCGCCAGCCGATGCCGAGGTGCAGTGTAAAGTCGTCCACAACTGGATGTGAAGCATTCTCGGTCGCCGAAGTCGTCGCAGGCGCAGCGAGATCAATTTGCCGTCCCGAAGCTTTGTCCACGACCACGACTCCGCTGCCGTTGACGATTGGAAATATGCCGGGAGAAGAGTTGGCAGGGTGGTCCATTCGCTGTGACTTGTTGCTTCGTATTTCTGGACGCTGGGAAGCAACGACAGTTGCAGCCGCGGCCTGGTCGCGTGCCTTCTGTTCCTCTACCCAGGTGCCTGACTGGCTACTGGCATCGGCAACATAGCCCTGAACCGGCTTGATGAGCACCATGCCCTCGCCATATTCCCAGCCTGCCTCCGCCTCTTGGACTGGTTCGGGTGCCTCTTCCGTCAGATTCGGCGCTGCCTCATCCCTGGATCGTTTGCGACCAGCCATTCTGCGACCCTCGGCCGGCGCGGGGGCGATGTCCTGCGCACCTGCCTGTTCAAAAGGAGAGATGGCGAACTTGGTCGACGGTGGCGCGTGCTGAGGGATTGCTATGACTGGCGACGAAGCCGCGACGGGGTGCGCAAAAGACCCCATTGCTGTGGTGTTAGTTGACTGTACAGTGAGTTCTCTGGCTCTCACACGGAAACTGTTCTTCTATCACAAGAGATGAAGATGTTAGTTCAAGAGCGTGCGTTATACTAATGCCAAGCGTTGGTTGGCGGCTATCGTCCCTGGTGTGGCCGTGAACGGGCTTGGGGTGGACAATTTGTAGTAAAAAATGTAAAGACAAGCGATTGTGACGTTGGCGGTGGGAATGTAATGGGTCGAAAACGAGGGTTTGGTCGTGTGAGCGGTCGCTGCGATGGTACTTCGTAAGAGAGTTGGCAACTCGTTGGAATGTCGAGAGGTTGTAGAAGATGTCGAGGTTCGCGCGTGTACGTGAGAACGTAGTGCTGGTAGCAGAAGAGACGAGTTCGAAGCTCTTGATGGAGGCAGGGGGATATGGTTCAGCGCCGATGTAAATTCACATCAATGTAGGGAGCAAGATGACAAGAAACAGAGGAGTGGATTGAGGATGGTAAACAAGGGTTCCTAAATCGGGCTGCTACAGAATGAGGGAGAGGTGGGTGAGATGGACCATGCCCCAGATCTGACTGAGCCAGCTTCGGTGCTTCCAATTGCGCTCCTAACTAGTGCTCTATCCGGAAGAATGTACCAGCACGTACATGTACAGGGTACTTGCCGTCGCCTTGTTAGGATGCGGAGAAAGCTGGCTCAGGCGATGGCTGGCCCTCCGTTGACTAAGGTAAGGTAAGGTACCTAGGATACTAGGCGGCACGGCACTGCCAACCCCATGTGCTAGTTCAGCCACTATAACCCAAAGGATGGAAGTGTGTCACGTGATATAAGCCTGCAGATTCCCCTCGCTTGCGTTGCCGAAGGCAAGGCGATCCCCACCTGGCATCCCCGATGCAGGACAAGACCGAGTAAGTCATCACGTTGCCTAGAATTGAAAACGAAGAAGCTTTATTTTAACAGTCGAGCGCGAAGTTATATCTTACACCGTAGCCGTTTGCTTTATGGGCTATGTCTGCCTCCAGCTTCCCTTCTCGATTAACAGCTTGCGAAACCGAGGCATGTTCCGCGCTCCGCTTGGACTGCTTTGGTCATGCCATCAGGAGCCAAGTTTCGAATGCAGGTATAGTGTCTTAGTCGTAACGAAGCTTAACTGTCGAGGGTTCACAGAAAGACCCCTCAACTAGGTGGTTCCTAGCGGCCAGACCGGCAGCTCTTACGTCCGTGAATTCGGTTTGTTCCCGTGGGATGCGGTACTTCCATGTTACGAGAACGACTCCCCAGCCAGGCAGGCAGTGACCTTCTATGCGGGGTTGGGCCTGTGGCGACAGCAAGACAAGTCTGTTCCTAGAGTGCGAACTTCGTAACTGTAGACGAGGGGAGTGCACTTACCCGAGTCACCTGATGTGTTGCTAACCTCATCGAGTTGAAGTTGAGGCACCCAAGACTGGAAATTTGACGAAGCAACGAGCCACTTAACTCTCCTCTATCTGCCTACCTAGGTGCCAGGCATTCGGCAATCGTACTAATTCCATGGCACCTACTCGTTCTACATCTGACAACCTCGCAATTGCGAAGTGGACCAAAGCAGAGACCATGATCAGTGCTCGGAATAGAGCAACGGAAAGGTGGATATCAGTCGTTACTGTTGACGTGTGTTTGAATACTCATCTAATTGTGAACCCAATCCGCGGTTGTTGGTCGCCACAGGTTACAGCCCCACAGAATTAAGGGTGCTGCGCCAATCTGCACCCCTCAATTACCTGATGCACACATTTCTCCTAGGTCGCCGACACCCTTAGACAGAGACCTTACTCGTGTCTGTGAAAGGTACCTCGAGCCAGTGAGACAATATCAAGGTTCTTCATCTGATCGAGGGGTGGTCATGGGCATCTTCAGGAGACACAAGCTAAGCATTCTTTCTTATTTCGGCCAGCTTGATCAAACCTCTGTCATTCAATCTCGCCCGAAATTGCCGATCCGATAGGGGCTTACAGAGGCTTGTGATTTGCTCACGGGCCACAGGACCCCTGGGATGAGGAGGTGTGCAATAGGAGTGAATGGGTACCCAGAGGTAGGTACCGACGTAGGTACCTACGTAGCCCAGCTTCTCCTGCCAGCCAACATCACTCTGTCTTCTGGTAGTTAGGTAGCGTAGCCTTTACCCACTTGCACCAATCGAACGTCAGCCTGAGATCACGGCTTGTGTCCAATGCCGACCCTGACTTTCGACTTCTTCTATTCGGACGGCTTCATCCTTTAAGGTCGTGCTGCGGCCACTGTCCCACGCAGTTCGCCATTTCAACATTAACCTGACTTCCCATATCAGGCACCATGGGCGGGGATCTCAGCTTGTCCAAAGCCCTCGGAGGACTGCGTATAGCCAACCCGGACGACACCGACACAGCCCCATCTCAGGAAGGCGCGGCGTCTGCTTCGCTGCCGGTTTGCGACCCTCCTCCGACCTCCTCATCCGACAAGCAGCAGGCACCGGCCAGATCTGGATCGCAATCGTCACCGAGCCATCTTCCGTCCCGCGATCAATACGGCGCCGCCATTAACCCGGGCGCCCCCCAGCAATCAACATCAACCGAAGATGTTTCGAGGCTCAATGCATACCGCCAGCCGACATCCATATACCAACCAGATGTTGATCGGCTAGCCGGCCAATCGTTCTCTTCGAATGGCCGGCCCCAATCCGGTCAATACCATGGCTCTATGAGCCGCACGCTTCCTGAAGATGTGCGAGTCTCTTCGCAGCATGAGGCGCAGAAGAACGAGCGATCCCGGTCGTCAATGTACGGCATGCCCACGAGGAGCGACTCACGATCTGTCCCTGGACCGGCCGGCCCTGTGCCTTCACGGGAGTCAAGCCACAGCTCTCGTCAAGGCTCCCAAGCACCCACGACTGGAACTTTGCCACCGCGACGAAGCTCTAAGGGTATGGGAGGAGGCTATGCATCAGCTTCAGCTGCTACCGCCCCATCACGACGGGAACCATATGGCCCTGAAGACTCACTGCCGTCTTCAAGCGAAGAATGGAAGGATCGTGGTGCAGCGGTGGGCATGCGGCGTGATGTCGACTCGCATGGAAAGACTGTCATCCGACATGTCAAGAAAGGGGTACGTGACTTCAGTTTCGGCCGTGTCCTTGGCGAAGGGTCATACAGCACTGTTTACTTGGCCACGGATCGGCAGACCCTGAAGGAGTACGCTATCAAGGTACTCGAGAAACGCCACATCATCAAAGAGAAGAAAATCAAATATGTCAACATCGAGAAGGATACATTGAACCGCTTGACAGAGCATCCCGGTATCGTCCGCCTATACTACACATTTCAAGATGAAAACTCCTTGTACTATGTGTTGGACCTCTGCAATGGAGGCGAGCTCCTCGGTGTGCTCAAGAAAACAGGCACTTTCGACGTTGATTGCACCAGGTTCTATGGAGCACAGATCTTGGACGCCATCAATTACATGCACTCAAGGGGGGTTATCCACCGCGACCTCAAGCCTGAGAACGTACTGCTCGACGATAATATGCACGTCAAAATTACCGACTTCGGCACCGCCAAACTACTGAAGACGCCACGAGAACTGCAAGGCCCTGCGCCTACAGGTGGGGGTCCACTAGATGGCAGTACTAGAGATCAAGATGGAGAAAGCCGTGCAGCATCTTTTGTTGGCACAGCAGAGTACGTCAGTCCGGAACTTCTGACAAGCAAAAACGCGTGTAAGGCGAGCGACTTGTGGGCCTTTGGATGTATCATTTACCAGCTTCTGGCCGGCCGGCCACCTTTCAAGGCTGGCACAGAATATTTGACATTCCAGAAGATTGTCAACCTTGAGTACGAATTTCCAACAGGCTTTCCGGCAGCGGCGCGGGACCTAGTCGAAAGGTGCCTAGTCCTCGACCCAGCTCGACGACTGACCGTGGAGCACATAAAGAACCATGAGTTTTTTGACGGTCATCCCTTCGGCAAGTCTCTGTGGAGACAACAAGCTCCGCGCCTGCGGCCTTACAATCCTGCACCCCAGGAGCCAACTTTAATCCAGCTGAACGGACATGCAAGCTCCGCTCCCAACACGTCAAATACTGCCAGAGCATCGCTGCCAACAGGTCCTTCGACATCTAACAATGCAGCGAGGCCGGCAAGGATTATCACCGAACTCCCTCCACCAACCCAATTAGACATCGAGTGGTCGCCAGTACTGACTCGCACAAACGAGCGGATTGTGAAGCTCGGCGACTTGATGGTCGTCTCGAGCCCACTTCCCAGCAGTCCTCACGGGAAAGGCGGGGACCACGGAGAGGGTCATAAGAAGTTGTCCAGGTTTTTCGGCGGCAGCACTACAAAGAAACGACAAAGGCTCGTCATGATCACCTCGAGCGGGCGCATTGTTCTTGCACCCGCTGGTGGCGAAGATAAACGTGCCAAGCAGGAGATCTCCCTTTTGGCTCCTGAATGCTCCTGGAGAACTCAGGTGGATGTTAAAGGGCAGACAGTATGGTGTGTGAATACAGTAAGTAGCTTCCGGCCGATAGATGGACGCTCCACGACGAGAGGTTGTAACTGACCGATGACACCTAGGACAAATCTCACTACACGTTCGAAGACCCAAAGTCATCCGCAGGTACATCATCAGAACTTGGCGGCCTGTCGGCGGACGACTGGATTGAGGCGTTGGTGCGAGCGAGGGAGCTCGCGCTGTCTCAGAACTCGGCCCCTTCATATGCCGCTGACAGTGGATTTGGAGATATGTCATCAACTATGTCGAGTCCAGCCAGCACCCTCGGCGGGCGTGGTCCCTACGGGGACGGATATAGTGGGGGAGCGTCTGAGCGATCGGGGCGAAATCATCTCAGTAAGAGTCAAGCGAGCTTGGAAGATCCTACACCCAAGCGCAATCGGTTTAGTAAGCGGCAGTCGAAGAGCGGACTCGGTGCGCAATTTTGAGATATCTTAAACGGGAAGACCGATGATGCCTGGTGCCGGCTGTCCCGTCTTGGCTGCGTCCCTGAGCATCGGAGTTCAAAGACAAGAAGAGGCTTGTGGCACAGAGAGCCCGAGGCACGCAGGGGTACAAGGTATTTATTATATCGAGTCTGATCAGCATTCAGGAGCACGGCGTTTCGTCAACTCAAGTACTATACTCGTGTCCTGGATAGAATCATGGAGGCAATGATCAATTTATTGCAGCTGGACAAGGTGGCTAAAGATAGACATCCGACCAAATATTATGCGCAGCGTTGAGTTTGGTCCAGGGAGGCGAATGATGATCCTTCCCGCACCCACCGACAAGGGGCATTTTGAACCACATTTGTACACAGCAACGAGAAGCAACACTTGTTCCGCTCTTCACTCGGTCGGGCAGCTCACCTGGTATAACTAAACAGCCTGGGTAGCCGTTGATGTGACTGTTCAACGTGAGGAGATGCTAGATTCGCTACTTAGAGAGTAGTTATGTCCCTGAACCGTGTTGTAAGCGGGGACCCGCGGTCAGCGTTGGGAACAAAGTGCCTCAAATACAGGGTTTCGGGATTGAAAAGTATGCTTGTTGCTGTTCCAGGTTTTTGCTGTCGTCCAAAACCTGCTCCTTTCCAGGCAGTCTAGACCAGACCGCTGTCGCACAATGACAGGTAACAGCGTTTGGTGAATAACACAAGTGGCTCAGTAGGGGAGTGGCTGAGCCCAGTTGGGCCAATAGTGGCGCTTGCGCTAACTTGTTCCGTCATGTAACGGGGATGACAGGAAGGAATCTGGGATTCCAGCCTCGCTCACTGACACGCCTAGGATGTCGCGTCGTCGCATTTAAGCAACCACAGGTGTCGTCAACGCCAGCGCAAGAATACAAAGTCCGCAAAGAGCAAACGCGCTACACCCAACTCAAACACTACGGAAGGCCACTTCAACTGCCTTACTCTAGCATGCAGCCTCAATTTCGAGCTGGGCCTGGGTCATACGTGCCTGGTACCCAACAAGCCCCACAGCGCACTCCTCATCCGGGCCCGAGACGAAATGGAATGGGTACGTTGCCGCCTGCTGACTGTATCGAAGTGCTGCTGGTGAATATCATCTGACTGAAAACTTCAGGTCCAACGGCCCCAGGCCCCCAACAGTCCGCCCCGATGAACCGAGCCTCGATGGGCTCGCTCCCACCCCATATCCCAGCGCAAGCGGTTGATCTCGAAAAGATGACCGCAGCCAGAGCACTGAAGAGACGAAGCCGCAAGCCGACCGACAAAGAACTTCCAGAAGGCATCGAGGACTGTCTAGCTACAGGCGATTCTGTGGCGCAACGATACAGAGAACTGCGTGGCGTTGAGCGACGACTGGATGCAACCTTGATGCGGAAGCGATTAGACATAGCGGATAGTCTCAACCGCACCACAAAGGTAATGACTGCCATCTACTGATAGGTGAGATGTTACTCGCTAACCAGCTATTGCGCAGCGCTACAAGACTCTTCGCATATGGGTCAACAACACAGTCGAGGACCAAGTGTGGCAGACCAACGGGCTTGCTGTTGACACGTTCGATTTTACACCGAACGTGGAAGCATCTTATCGCGTCAAAATCGAAGGTCGCTTGCTCGACGATGGTTATGATAACTCGTCTGACGAACCTGATGGGTCGGACAACGGCGATGACAACTCAGGGAGTAAATCAACCAGCCAACGCTTCACCCATTTTTTCAAAAACTTGACTGTTGAATTCGATACCAGTCGTTCACGCGCTGCTGCTGATCAAACGGTCACCTGGAACAAGTTCGACACGGCCAAGCCTAACCACGCAAAGTCCCCAGCATCCACAGAGGCTGACGAGCTGACGTTCAAGCGCAATGGGGACGAGAACATGAATATCACGATCAAATTGACGCGCCAGGAAAACCCGGAGCGACATCGGGTACGACCCGAACTAGCGGAGATCATCGATATGGTTGAAGCTACTCGGCAAGAGGCGATCATGGGCGTCTGGGACTATATCAGAGCTTCAGGGCTTCAGGAAGATGAAGAGAAGCGTCATTTCCGATGTGATGCCCTTCTGCGCAAGGTGAGTTTTCTACCCCCGTTTCCATACAACTCTCTGCTAAGCTCTGTGCTTCGAATAGATTGTGACGCGCGGAGATGTTGGTGCTATACCGAATCTGGGAGAATATGTCGACCGCTTGCTCGAGCCTTTACCCCCAGTCAGCCTTCCGTATACCATTCGGGTCGATGAGGCATTCCACCGCAACCCACAGCCTACAGTATACGATGTTCAAGTCGCCGTCGACGATTCCTTCCGTAGTACTACGCTTCCATTTGTTGCAAGTCCTACTTATGGCAACGCGCTCAAGGAGATCATGGCGCTAGACGATCAGCTGACAACACTTGTTGGGGCGGTGGCTAATTCCAAGGCCAAGCATTCATTCTTCATGTCTCTTGGTAACGACCCTGCTGTTTTCCTTCAAGATTGGTTTAGCTCCCAGAAGCGCGACCTGGAGATCATTGTGGGTGAAGCTACCCGGGGAGGTGGCGAAGATGCCTCAGGCGAAGAATGGCGTCGAGGCGGCAAAGACAGTGTGTGGGCAACGCAGAATGCCCGAGAGAGTGTGAATATTATGCTGGCTAAGCCGTCGCGTTGACGAAGCTTAAATGGGGTTCTGCGCAAGAAGAAGGATCGTCGGAAAAAGGGAGAAGGGGAAGGGGTTATCCTTTCATTGCACCAGCATGCCGTTCAGCAGGTCTCCACCGCTGCGTTGACACTGCTGTTGGGTTTCTCATCATTTTTGTATCCTTAGCTAATGTTGTGACAAGAGTATGTATGATGTACACGCGAAGCACCTACCGGCCTAACATTGTGACGCCCATGAAGGAACGGTTTCGTGATATGAACAACTAAATGACACAAACCTGCAGAAAAGAACTGTTTACCTTCATGATCGAACTCCATCCTTTAGCAGCACAGTCAAAGCACCCTTTGCAGAAGCCCAGGGGAAATTGTATGTTTGTCCAACTGCCGTCGCCAGACAGATCACGCTTTGATTACATGCGCCAGTAAAGGTTGCACGTTTGGCAGCACACAAGACGATCCAACCCTGGCTCCTTCATGTCGGGCGAGGACCACTCGCTCAAGTTGATTGCAGGCAACCTTGAACATAACTTGAAACAGCTCCAAGGAAGACGCTGGCACATGGTTCAAATTCCAAACTCTTGTGTGCTGCACAGGAGTGTTTGCTCAGCCAATCCACGGCTGGAAGCATCGCCAGACTACCAGAGCACGCGACGTACATCTCGATAACGACGATTAGGTGAAGCTCGTAAAATTTCCCCTTCGGACACGGTATGATTAACCACCATGCCGCTGCGGAGGGATGGGGTTGGGTGGCATGTTCCTGATCTGTTTGATCAGGAATTCTCGCTCATCAATAAATTGCTCATCATCTGTTCTGTCCTCCAAGAAATGGGATAAAAACGACAGTAGCTTTTCCCGATTCATAAGCAAGATCTTCTGGACCGCAATCGATTTGTGTGGGTTGGCCACGAAGACTTTGAAGACGTGAAAGCCTTCATATTGTACCATCTTCCGATCATCACGGAGCAAGTTCATACAGATCTTGAGATGTTCGCCGCGGTCGACGTAGGCTGTCATAACGCTGTAGTTGGACCGATCCAGTAGGATCTCACCAAGTAGCTTGATGGACTGGCGTTTCGTGACGTAACTGTTTGACTGCACCAGGATGCTATTGTACTTGTCAAAGAACAGGTCGAAATTGACGGACAGGTATCTTGGGACCAGTTCCTTATGTCTAGTTAGAAGCTCCTGTCAACCCTTTTGTCAGTATTGTTGTGTTCAATCAAGCATAGTCTCGATCAAACTTGAACTAAGTCGGCGCTGAGACTTACACGAAATGTAGTGAATGCGTCAGCCGAGACCTCGAATGAGCTCTTGTCAACCCATTCAAAAAACTTCCAAAATACGCCCGTGCCGGTCTGTTTTCGATCTCTGTCAATGACACTGAGGCCTTTGGAGCTGGAGCCTGGCTGATCTCCATCATCATACAGAATGGCGGCGGCGGCAGATTCGGACTTGAGAACTTCTCGCAGCACGGAGCCAGCCGGCGTTGCACTCTCCTTGTGGTCGTAACCTCTGCATAGCTCGAGAAGGACCTGCGGTCTTTGGTTCACCACGTAGGACAGTGCAATTGGGTCACTCTTGGGGGATGCTGTGGTCGGGCGGAATCGAAAGACGTAAGAAAATATGACTTGTGTGTCTTTTCGGGACTCGAATGGCAATCTCCAGAGGTTGACGGCAAGCAGAAACAGCAAATCCTCTTCGATCAAACCGGTCACTAGCTGATAGATTTGTTCGGGACTGCTATCAGCTTCTGCTTCCGTGTTAGTTGCAATGCTATGGCGTAGCTTCGTGGGCTCGGGAGTCAGCCAGACCTTGTGTTCCTTGTAATATCATCTTCATCTGGCTGAGCACCTTCGCAAGCTCCTCACCCTATGAGCTTCGTGTTAGCTGAAGCCCTGATCGAGGAGACGAACAAGGGAATTAATCGCACCCTTGCGCCAGCAGTTGGCACGTCAAAGCGCATGATATGCTCCCGCGCCTGCTTCGGAAGGTCCACGACTGTCCTCGTCCGAGCCCTGCCAAAAAGAAACGACATATCGAGGCTGCGTTGTGTTGACAGGTCCTTCCAGGGAATCAGGTGAGCTGTAGTAGAGGTTGTAATACGTACGGCACCGCCGACGTAGAGATGCCGAAGGGTTGAATGTCGCTATACGTGTCGGTCCGGGTCGTTGCGATGTTGCGATGACGATGTTGGGCTATAATGCGCTGTTCCCTGTGTTGTCTTCGTCGACTGATTAGGCAGGTACCACAATAGTGTCAGATAGAACACACCTATCTGTGCCCTCGCGTTATGCATTTCCTGTTCAGCCGTTGCCGCTCTATCACAAGCTGAATAAACAGTGCCTCGATTAATACATATATTTGTTTGTTGAACACTCCGCAATCTCCGTCTCTCGATTTGTAAATTACCTTGGCTCATCTATCCAGTGATACAGCTTAGGGAGCGCGCCGCGGGAACAGTCAAGGTCCGTCGAGGACTCAAATTCATTCCAACTAGAGCATATCCTGCTCAGTGTGTAGTTGAGCTCATAATCAATCCGGCGGTCAGCTGGTCTCGCATCGCGTCCCCTTACAACACACGACATTCATCTGATGTTGCGAGAAGCCAACTGAGAAAGCGTCAATACTCTCAGGGAATATATAAAGATAGACACATCGATGAATAGTCGTGGCGGTCAGAAAAAGTGAATCGGGAAAACCACTCACTAGGTAACAATTCTTCAGCTTCATGAATTCTTTCAAGCACTTATCTTTGTGAACGGCGTTGTAGTCGGAGACGATACATTTGCCGTACACAGATGTCTAGTTCTGTATCAATTTGCTGTGAAACTTGCGTTTTCCTAACCTCACTTACCTCCGCGCTACAATGGGAGACTGCCAGAGCAACCTTCTGAATAGGCCTCGTCCGACTAGGCATCGTTCGTGTCTGTTCCACGTAATCAGTGTATAAGTAAGGCTTGGCTTAAAGAAACCCGTAGAAGAAGGCGACGCAGGTTACACTCGCGCGCAGGTCGTCGTGTGACGATGTTGTACAAATGAATGATTAATCTACTTGAGCCGCACGTGCCATTCTGAGGTTATGCAAGTAACGGTTGGTATGGGGGGGTGGGGGGGCTAATAAGCTCAGATATTTGATCAGGTACCTACCTAAGGTACCTACCCGGGTAGTAGACGCGACCCCGCTAAGTTCCAACACGATTGGATGGCCGCGTTCTGCACGTCGCGACAGCCCAGGACGCGCCTGGGTGAGGAATTCGCGACTGCAACATCGAGATGTACACTCCTCCCAAGGCGATTCATTGCGCACCAGCTTCACATTAGCTACAAACCCCGACCTAGCTCATAGACTCACCACTTCGTTTCTCTCTTGACTGCAAATGCGCTCTTCTCCATGACAAAACTGCCCTCAGAATCGACAGGGTGTCTCTGAGGGTGGCGGCACTGCCTGTCCCTCTACAAGCTATATGTGTTGACGAACTAGCATGCGACTCTTCCGGTGCTGATTCACATGCCACCGCTGTCGCCGCGCTCAGCGCAAGCTCCCTTTGAGGGCATTGCCAGTCCACCGTTGTCCCAAGTTCCGGATGCGTACTATAGCAACGATGGTACGGAGCAAGTCGAACCCCTTGGTTCAACCGTTTATTAACTACTCTCGCTAGACATCGAAATCCTTTACAGCGTCGTCTCCAGGGCGCAGGAAATACTCAACAATTTACCTGAAGGGGAACAGTTGGCAACAAATGCTCTTTTCAGCGCATACGATGAGGTGCTACCTCTTTATGGCATCGATCCTGAAGAAGATCATCATCTCTCACGACTGGTCTTTCGGATAGGAGGAGAACGTGGGGTAGGTTCCCTGCTGGACAGTTGTCGAGATGTCCTGCTCCGGATGGGAATTGAGCTCGAACTCGACTCGGATAGTGCCACTGTGTCTTCCGCCGCATCGTCGCATGTTCGCGCCGATCACCTCGACGTACGTGACACAGGACCTACCGATATTGCAGCTTGGAATTCTCCGGACGATCCCACCGATATTCAGAACAAGAATATTGCTAGAAGGATAGGTGGCAGAGGTTCAAACATCTCTGTTATACCAGACCATGGCTCGTCCCCTGCTCCGGTTTCCCAGCGTCTGGTAACAGATCCTACTAGACTAAACCATGAATTTGTCGTCCCTGAGCTTCGAGTACGCAGTCTCGAGTTGCCGGGAGAGCAAATAGCCGTCCGGCATGATTCTCACAACGAATTCCCATCAGCCGATGAGTCTACAAGCTTGCCCAAAACCACCACCCCCGCCATTGATATGGGCCTTGATGCAGTTCAAGAAGTTCGACGCCTTCCCGTCCGAATGCGATCACCGATTCCTCCACGGCCTTCTGCTCACATCACCTTGGACTGGTCGAAGGCTTCGAACACAAGGCAACATCTTTCTGATATTTCCGATAAGGAATATGCTACCCAGCATCCCATCCACCACGATAAGGAGAGCCACAATAGAGCTGCTCATTGGCAAGCCAATAAGCCTACTGCCCCGCGATCCCACCATCTCCAGGCTAATTTTGATGAGATACATCCTGAGGGTTCTTACCATCGTCTTAAGAGAAGAGCGTCCAGAGCCTGGGTCCTTCTGCAATTAACTAGAGCCATTTCTCACTGGGCTGCCTTTTCCGACGAGAAGCTTGAGCGTGCGGCTGTTGCACGGCGACACATCTTACGAATCAGGTATTTCTCTCCTTGGTTTGTAGACGCAGCCGAAAGTAAAAAGACACGGCACCAGAAGGCAGTGCATAAACACGTGGCCACTTGGTCAAGTCTTTCATCCCACACTGTAGCAGCTGCGCAGAACCGCCGTGGAGAGTATGAGCGACGGCTACTACAACGAGTGATGAACAAATGGACGACAAGAACGGCAACAATAAACGCGAATCTTCCCAGGCCGCAATCAATACTTTCGAGGATGACAAGCCGTACGCTGCAGCAGTGGCAAGACCACTGTCATCAAAGAAGAGGTCTACTAGACCTAGCGAATCGAGCTCAACACCTCAACGCCTTCACAAGGCTCCAGACCTCGCATGACTGTGAAGAGGCCCATCGAGAAGCAGCAGTTCGCTTTCAACGCTGTTTGTATATTTTCGAGGCTCTGCGACTCTGGACTCTTGTAGTACGTGGTCGACAGCTCCACGACGAATTGCAATTTCGAAGTATCAACGCGCTGCTCCGCCGCTGGCGTGATCTCAGACAGGACGAATGCATCGCAACTAGACATGGTTTGACCCAATCTCAATCACTGAGCGCCAGTCCGAGCTTTTTGCTGGTCCCGAAGGACGCTGCTAGTCGCTTTCACCAGCGTGTCTTCATGAGTGCTGTACTCAAGACCTGGCGACGTGTAGCAGTCACTGACGGTGCTGCCCTCTATCACGCCTCGATCCACGCGACTCATCAATACGCCCATCGAACCTTGATGCGCTGGTACACAATCGGAGACAGGGACATTGAGCTCGGTCAGTGGGCGCATCGAGCACGGGTGTATCTTGGATGTACCAAAATGCTCCAGACGTGGAAACAAGCCGTGCCACGATGGTCATCGTCTGTGCAAAGAGCCTATGTTCGTTGCAGGTGGCGTCACAAGGCACTGATAGCAAGGAACAAACTCTCGCAGTGGAGGGCCAGCTTGCGGTATATTGATGTCGTGGTAAGTGCCACGAAATCGGAGGAGCGCCATGCGAACTGCAGTCGCATCCATAAGACTCTTGCATGTTGGCAACATCAGTGCCGTTTGCAACAAGCAATGGAATCACCAGCTTATATGCATGACATCTGGTTGAATGAGTGGACTGTCTCCTTGGAGGGTCAACGTCTGGTCGAGAATGAGGCCTCCAACACGTGGGCTCTGGGGCTCAAGTCCAAAGTTTGGAGCAAATGGCGATCTGTCTCTGTCCAACTACACTCGCAGCTGTATATTGTGACGGACGTTACTGAGAAGAACACCAGAAAGTCTGTCCGTCGGATCCTTACGCGTTGGAAAACACAAGGTGAGACGCTTCATGCGCCCGAGCCCATGTCCCTTGCGGCGTCTTCCTATGGTCTATCGCGTGGCAGCCGTGTTCAGGACTCAGTACTGTGGTCAAAGGCCCGATCAGGTCAAACAGCTGCATCATCATTCTTGGGTAGTCGGGTTTGGCCTGGAGACGTGGAAGAGGACTTTTCGGAGCAGCCAACTTCAGAATTGGATGAAATGGGAGACGTGATTAGCACTCCAACACGACGGATCGAGTTTGAAGGATCACTCGCACGGCTGCCTACGACAACACCTCTAGCACCACTATCGACACCTTTTGAGCGTGAGCTCCGCGGACGTTACGTCGCCAATGGGCGAATGTCACAGTTGAATCAGTCGGCGCACTTGACGATCAGAGGCACACCGCGACTGTCCGCGATTGAGGCACGACGCATTGCGGAACAGAGAAGACGCAGGCGACCAGGATAATGATTTGGCTTGACGATACCCCATTAGACAAGTGATACATGATTTGAAAAGCAGCATATTTCTTAACCTAAGCGGACCATTACAATGAAAGCATGGCGGTTCTCATTTTCTGGTATTAGCTGGGCCCATACATTGTGTTTACATATCTTATGCATATAAGCGTGCACCCTGAAGCTGCAAGGTGGCGTCATTCCTCTCGGTACCTTTACACACGTACCTACCTAGGGGCGTGTCGAAGTAGCCAGCCTTTGGACATGCACCGAGCACCCGCATGAGCTTGATTCCACTTGTTCAGCACGAGAAGAGTTCACGTGGTTGATTTTATCCAATTCAGAAGCCTTGTCACTGGAGGCTTTGCAGCACCTTAACAACAACACCAGCTCCCTTTCAGCACCGCGTTCTGATCTGATCTCTTACCTGGCACCCATACTCGATCATTCCACAGAGTTCCGCTTCGAGAGCCATGCGACTTCGATGCAGCAACGCATAGGATGAGAGGTATCCTACCAGGGAGACCCAGGTCCGGGCTCCAAGCTTTGGCGACAGGCTTCTGGGGGTCAAGACAATATACTGTGAGTATCATCACTGAGTATATATGGCTAGGCCCGTTCGTTCTAACGTCATTGCGACAGGTATACATCACGGGCAATGCCTTCGCCATCCTCGACGGCCCTGAACAACTTGTCCAAACAGTCTACGACGACGACGAAGCAGCTCTTCTTGCTGTAGCATTCGACGAATTTTCGGGGAAAATAGCAACATGCACGGGGTCAGCCGTTCGAGTCTACAAGCCTTTGGGACACGCAGAGGACGCACTCAAGGTTTGCGCCGACCACTTTCACGGCTTGTTTCTCCAAAGCTGACAGATATTCTGGATCAAGTGGGGACTGCAGTCGTCGTTCCTAATCCAAACAAGCGAAACAGATCCTTGTCTATCATGGGGAGCTTCAGAAGAGCTCCTTGTCGCCGCATCGACCCTGCGTCTATACCTTACAACCTCAGCAGCCCCGTCGTGTTTCTGGGAGAAGGCACTACCAAATGACGCAAAGTCTGCACAGCTTTCTTTCGACTCTGCCTACATCGCCGTCATTGGATCTCACGATACAATCGTTAAGGTTTGGCGAAGGCTTACCTATGGTGCAGATGAGGTCTGTTTCGACCTTGCGTGTCTACCTCATCCCGATGTGGTGACGAATATCCGGTGGCGCAAACCATATCATACAGAACAAACAATCGACAACATTCTGTACACCACATGTATTGATTTCGTTCTTCGAATCTGGACAGGGTACGATTCTCACTCGAACCAGCAACTCCATCTGTGGGCACAGGTGGACCTTGCCTGGTCTGTAGAGGGTCAAGCCTTAAGGTCAGCGTCCAAGCTCTCCCCGGCCCCGGTGCTGTTTATCCTTGATGGGAGAGAAGTTGCTGCTGCTGCCGAAAAGGCGGTTCAGGGGCACCCGTCGGGTGAGCAACTGCCAGAGGCGGCCGTGCAGCGCCTGATCGGGGTGGCGAATAGGAACCCAGAACTTTGCTTTGTTCTCGGCGATGGTGATACCATGTCCGCCTTGGCTTTAGAGAATGTTGGCTCCAGATCACAGAAGCTCAAAGTAACCAGCGTCGCGTACATCAACTCACAGGACTTTACCCCACGGCAGGACTTTCCTTCTATAACGCACGATCTTCATGTTGAAGTCCAGGCATACTGCGCTCGCGACACGGGTCGTCTCCGAATCTTAGTCCATGAGTTCAATGGCAGGATTCGCATTTTCGAGACTGACCTGGTGGATTTAATCGACCCTGATCTTGCTTGTCATCAATTTGATAATCGATGTACTTGGTCCGGCCATTCGTCACCGATCGAGAAAATAGTTCGCAATTACAGCGGGCGATCAGTCGTATCAAGGACAGCTGATGGAGAGAGCGTTGTCTGGACACATTCTGGGGGCAGAGCGACCTCTGGACTATCCCGGCAAAGCGTCGTACCGGAGGCGGGTCATATACACCGCATATGTGTCCTTCGGAAAGGTCGATTTGTTGTGTTCCTGAAGCATGAGACAATTTCCGTATGGGACTGTCGCCGTCAAAAGGCGATTGCAATGTGCCACCAGCCGTATGAGCTCTCTGGAAAGCCTCTGTGCCTCCTGAAATTACCAAGACACCATCGAGACGACTATAGAACCGTCCATATTGCCACAATCACTTCAGAGCAGAAGGGCATTGTGTGGCAACTCGACTTGCCACCATACATGGCGCCAGATGCAGCCTCTCAGGAGGGCTCGCGTGAAGCGACTCTCATGGAGTTCTGCAGATTTGAGCTGCGAAATATCGAGGGGCTTGCTTATGTATTGCCTGTTGATCCCGCAGGGTCTTCCCCGATTACGACTGGTTTCTTGGATGTGTTTGCGAAGGACGTTGCCATTTCCTACACTCAGTCAGGTCGTGTTGACTTTTGGACAGCACGTATTGACAACGCTGACAAGCGCGTAGAGTGGCTGTCAACCTGTTGTTCGGAGACTGGTCTTGCAAACCCAGCGCTCGTGAGCGGTAGCACGCTCAAAAAGGCAGCCCTTGTTGATTCTTCGCGATCGCAATTATCCATCTGGGATATTGGTGGTGCCCGCCTCGAGTTTTCCCAAGACTACGAGGCCCACCACACGATCAGAGATCTCGACTGGACCTCAACCCCAGATTCGCAGTCTATTCTGGCTGTTGGCTTCCAACACCGGGTTGTCTTGTTATCGCAAATGCGTTTTGACTACCTCAATAAAGGCCCTGCCTGGGCTCCGATCAGAGAAATTAGCATACGCGAGCTAACTCCTCATCCAATCGGTGACTCTGCTTGGCTTGGGGACGGCCATCTCGTTGTCGGTGCGGGTAATCAGATGCTGATTTATGGGAGAAGCTTTGGTCTCGCCGATTCCAAGGTCAGTACCTTGAGGCTGCCACAGAAAAAAGATGGTGTCTGGGACCTATTTGAGGCTGTACAACGACTCAACGGGCCATTGCCGATATTCCATCCCCAGTTTCTGAGCCAGTGTATATTGGCGGGAAAGACTACCTTGGTACACCAGATCCTTCTCGCGCTACACCAAACATTCAAGTATCACATTCCAGGCGAACATATTGACGACTATCTCGGCATGAAACTTGATGTGTTTTACATGGACACGGTGCGTACAGTGTACCAGCTTCGATACGACTGAATACTAACATACATGTACCTAGGTTTCGTCGGGAAAGGTGGTCAAGCAGCAATCCGATTCCTATTTAAATCGCGGTGCCTCGGATGATCCAATGCAAGAAACCTTCACGGAGGATGTTGCTGCGGCTATTAATGAGCGACTGACCAAGGTCGGTCTCCCACAGTTGTCAGGACAAGAGCAAATGCAACTAGCCGACATCATTGATTGTGTAGGCTTGGTCGACAAACACCGTCGCTCATTAGACGAGGATGGTGCTAGGTTCATGCTCTTCCTTCGCCAACACGCCTTGCGCAAAGGGCGTATTAGCGAGATCAATATTTCTTGGCGGGAGATCGTGTGGGCATTTCATTCTGGCAGCCAGGACATTCTGGTGGATTTTGTGATACGACAGTATCATGGGTCGCTTCTTTGGGAAAGTGCCAGGGAAAGTGGTATATTCATGTGGCTGACTGACACTAATGCTATGGTAGGTCACTGTAGTTCCTCGCCTGACTTTTGCAGCTGACAATAATGCGTAAATTTAGAGGGCCCAGTTCGAGATCATCGCTCGGAATGAGTATACCAAGAGCGAGATGAAAAACCCAATTGACTGCAGTCTCTACTATTTAGCTTTGAAGAAGAAAACTGTTCTTCAAGGGCTTTGGCGCATGGCAAGCTGGAACAAGGAGCAAGGCGCCACACAACGCCTGCTGGCCAATAACTTCGAAGACCCGAAATGGCGAACGACGGCACTTAAGAATGCATACGCATTGTTGAGCAAGCGCAGATTTGGTGCGTCTACATGGAGCACCGATTTGACCACTGGGAACTGACAAGAAGAACAGAATATGCAGCGGCATTCTTTCTCTTGGCGGACCATCTAACAGACGCTGTCAATGTTTGTCTGCACCAGCTCAAGGACTTGCAACTTGCTATTGCCATCGCCCGAGTGTACGAGGGTGACAACGGTCCAGTCCTTCGGAAGCTCCTCGAGGACGAAGTCCTCAATGTCGCAGCTCGCGAGGGGAATCGCTGGCTTGCCTCGTGGGCGTTTTGGATGCTCGGTCGCAAAGATATGGCCGTCAGGTCGCTGATTGTAAGTCGCGGTTCTTGAGGAAGACTTCGAATCATGACTGACATGTTGTGGCAGACGCCCGTATACACTCTTCTAGAGACCCCGGTCGTACCCGACTTGAGGTCTAAGTTGTTCCTGACCGATGACCCAGCCTTGGTAGTGCTCTACTCGCAGCTTCGACAGAAGACCTTGCAGACCCTTCGAGGAGCATCCAAAGTAACCCCTCGGATTGAATGGGAGTTTGTTCTTCACAGTGCCAAGCTGTTTGATCGGATGGGCTGCGATCTTCTTGGTCTGGATCTTGGTAAGTTATACCCGAGCGAGAAAAAGTCTTGGCTCTGACTTGCGTCGACCAGTCCGTAACTGGGAGTTCCCTCAGCCGGCAGCAACGACAGGATCCTTGCTTGGAGGCGAGGCCAACCCGCTGAAACTTCTGAGGAGGCGAAGTTCTCTCGTGGTGGATGACATGCCTTTTTCAAGCTTGCGCAACGAGGTACGAATGGTCGAATCTGGAAAGGGACAGTCGGGGAGACATCAACCACCCACAATGTTTGAAGAACCAGACTCGAGCTCGCTGCTGGACAGCTTCGGGTTCTAGGCGTCAGTGGTGGGTTAACGATGTCTGGGGTGAGAACATTTAATGATCAGAATGCTCAGGGAGGGTAGTTGGGGAAACAGCATGAAAACGATAAATTTTGATGAACGTCCTATGATGCTGCGTCTCCTTTGTCTGAAAACATCAAGTACCTATGTTGGGAATGGCGGGGAAGTGCCCCTGTTCGGCTGGTGTCAGTACCTGCGTCCTTGAAAACGATGGCGTCGTGCCACAGGTTGCCGGGTTCGGGTTAAGCCACCTCCCCTTAAAGGTACACCTACCCAGGTACCTAGGTGAGGTACCTTTAGCACTGAGAAGGAGAAGTGGGTCCAAAAGAGGTCCAGGCGACACTCGTCGTGACGCGCCCTGTCCCGCTTCAATACCTACCTTAATGTACCTAATTTATCATCGTCATGTGCTTTCTCCACTCATACCTCATACTCTCACACATATGCGTCGCTCGCATCAGCTACCGCCGTTCGTTCAGCTTGCCTGTGGTCCATGTTAGCATGATTTTTGTATAACATATCCGACGCTCTTTGAACAGCGTTTCCAATTATTTCAGGACATGATGTCGCGTCGGGACAGCACCGCTCGCAGCGACAGCGACGACGCTCGTCGACGCTTACTTCCTTCAGTACCTGAGCCAGTACCTGAGCCAGTACCTGAGCCAGCACCTGAGCCGAGTCCTGGCCTTCGCAGTCCAGAAGGCCGCAGAACAAAGGTGTCGCCGCAGATTCATGGGCACAGCTTCACGTTTCGAGGTGTGGCCGCAGGACTTGCGGTTGGCCTTGTCATTTGTTTCTCCAACATGTATTTTGGCCTGCAGACGGGATGGGTCAGTACCATGACCATGCCGGCTAGTTTGATGGGCTTTGGTTTATTTCGGTCACTTGCGCGCCACCTAAGTTTCCCATTCAGTCCGGTCGAGAATGTTCTCGTCCAAACAGTAGCTGGAAGTATGGCTATCATGCCACTGGGCTGTGGTTTCGTAGGAGTGGTACGTTTCGTCTGCCTGTCTTGTTGTGAAAAGCAACCTGGACCAAGGCGGCTCCCAAGTATATGCACCACCAGTTCGGAGACCGCTGACCTCGTGAAAGCTGCCAGCGATGAATTATCTCCTCACGCCCGAAGAGCAGGGGCCGATCACCCTCGAGGCATGGAGACTCATTGTATGGTCTCTTGGTCTCTGCTACTTTGGTGTTGTATTCGCTGTGCCCCTGTAAGCCCCTAGACAAGACACGCATCTTGCCCAAGCTTTTGCAGTCGCCTCCTCTGACATGACGTTTACTAGACGACGACAAGTCATCATTCGCGAAAGGCTACGTTTCCCAAGTGGCTTCAGCACAGCGGTCCTCATCGGAGTGCTCCACGGCAAAGACAAGCCGGCGACATCGTCCGAAGTAGACTCGCCGGCAGCTGGTGGCTTTGCGAGCCTTGTGCCACCTGCTGACGACGAGACCGATGATGCTTCAGAGGATGCTCCATCCACGACCTGGGCGGAGAACGTGCGCCTGCTCGCGACATGCTTCGTAGTATCAGGGGTCTACACACTCTGTACATTCTTTTTTCCCTCCATCCGCAACATCCCGATTTTTGGCACCGCTATAGCTCAGTCATGGCTATGGACGCTTAATCCCAGCCCTGCCTATATTGGACAAGGAATCATCATGGGCCCAGAAACAACACTACATATGTTGCTGGGTGCTTTTGTCGGCTGGGGCATTTTGTCGCCACTGGCTAAGTCACGGGGCTGGGCCCCGGGCGCGGTCGGCGACTGGGAGACTGGCAGTAAAGGCTGGATTCTGTGGACTTCTTTGGCCATCATGCTCGCAGATGCTGTGGTCAACCTAGCACACCTGGTTGTTCGGTCGCTGTTCTCCCGCTTGAACATCAATAAGCCCCCCGTCACGCTACGCAGTAGCTTGCGTGGCGTCTGGTCGTTGGCGACAGGTGGTCCGCGCCAGTATTCAAGGAGATATTCCGCCCTCCAATCGGAAGACTACGACGATAACGATCCTCTCCTCGGTCAAAATGCATCATCTGAGTCTTCTGGGTCTGGGGACGGTTCCCGGGACCGTCACATTTCAGTTGGGGAGGATGTGGAGGACGCGCCGCCAGATCAACAAGTTGGCGGCAAGACGGTCACAGTCGGCCTTTTCGCGTCAATTTTACTGTGCGTAGTTGCCGTACGCATTGTCTTTGGCAATCTCGTTCCACTCTATGCCAACATTGCCGCAGTACTACTAGCACTTGTCCTCAGCATCATGGGGGTAAGAGCGCTTGGTGAGACCGATTTGAATCCGGTTTCGGGAATCAGCAAGCTGGCACAGTTGTTCTTCGCCATAATCATCCCACAGTCTCACAAGACCAGTGTTCTAATCAACCTTGTCGCCGGTGCCGTGTCCGAGGCGGTAAGAATTCCCTAGACTCACCATCTGGTCTAAATCGGGCCCAATCCGATCCTATACTGACAGGGCTCAAGGGAGCTTTACAAGCTGGGGAGCTGATGCAGGACTTGAAGACGGGACACTTGCTAGGTGCGGCACCACAAGCGCAGTTCTACGGTCAGATCATTGGGGCCACGGCTGGTGCTGTAGTTAGCGCTTTTGTGTATCGACTTTATACCGCGTCAGTATCCCGGACTGCCTGCAATTTTTCAATAGGAAATGCAAGAAGAACTAATCCACTGTGTAGCGTCTACCCAATCCCCGGTAGCCTGCTGCAGGTGCCGACAGCTTACGTATGGATATTCACAGCAAGATTGGTGACAGGCGAAGGCCTGCCAAATATGGCGCGAGAGTGGGCAACTGGCTTTGGTATTGTCTTTGCAATTACAACTGCTATCAGGGCTGCTGTTCCGCCCGAAAAAGGCTGGAGGCCATTCATCCCCGGCGGGATTGCTGTTGCCGTCGGTATGTTTGGCTAAAACCATGGACCAGGGGGCTGATCACGTCGGCCGACAATAACTGACATCGACATAGGCATGTATAATGTTCCATCTTTCACGCTCGCGCGAGTTTTGGGTGGTCTGCTCAACTGGTACTGGTCCTCTGGTCGATTCGGTAGTGGACAAGGTCGATCAAAAACGTCTCTCATCGTCCTTGCATCTGGCTTTATCCTCGGCGAGGGATTCCTCAGCGTCGTAAATCTGATCCTGCAAACTCTCAGTACGCCTTCTTCGAGCTGAATGAGGTCTCCAGCTGCCTTTTTCCATTCCCAGTTGCAGCATCCGGCAGTCGGCCCCTCGTGGTACCTGCCCATGGTCAAGTCTTGACAGAATCAGGAGAGGCCAATGTGTGGCGGGCCAACTTGCGAAAAGTAAAGATTCATGCCAGGAAATCCTGTCCATACACACATCCATGGTTTGGTTCGTCAGCGCGCGAATGGCTCGTCACTTTGTCTGCCAGGATAACTGTAGATCAGATACCTTGAACGAGCAGATGCATGAGCCGATGTTTAGCCCGCACATCTGTGGGCCGAGAAAAGGAGGCCAGGAACAGGCAATAACGTCCAGCGGCCCATCGCACTGCACAGTTGTGGTAGATACTTCAATTTGGATAAGCGGTTACAACGATGTATTAGCTATGACAAATTGAGTTATGGAGGTGAAAATCCGGACTTGTGTTGGTTGGTCTTGAGCTGGCCCTCACTCACTGGCCTGTGAAAGCCCAAAGGTGGGTAAGTGGAGCAGATTAGCCTAGGAGCTCTGTGAGTTCATGACCAGCTCTCACTGGCTTGCTGTGGAAAAGATGAGTTGTAGTGAACGTACCTACCTAGGGTACCACTTGGGGTATTGGAGGTAAGAGGACCTGTTTTTTTTCTCAAGTCCCCATCCAGTTGTTCGACACCCCAAAGTTGGTGTGGCCTGCTGGCGCAAAGTTAGACCCCACCACATCGCACATGGTCAAGTTTGCGCCCAACTGCCTCAACTGCGCCAGCCTGTCACCAGCGCATTCTCCAGTCATGGCCCAGAACAAGCTGAGAAACGACGAAGCGATGAGCTCGACAGAATCGAACAGCTCTGGCGGCAGCGATGCCGACTGGGATGACGCCGAGTCGGATCACGAAGAGCCACTCGCCATTGTTTCCCTGTTGGACGACGCCGTCTTCGCCGACGTCACCAGCATGCTGGAGCACTGCAAGAAGCAATACGACTTCGACTTTGTTGAGGCCCAGAGACGCCTAGCCCTTGACTTCCACGGAAGCGTCAGGCTTGTCAACTTCAGTGTGTTCATACCCATGTCCAGCTCGAGCCTCCGCACACGCCTGATAGCACATCCTGCACACCCTGCACATCTTGCTAACACGAGTACTAGTCCGTCAGAGGGTACTTGACGGTGTTTCTCTGCCTGTACCCATCCGGTTGGAGGATATTGATCATGACCAGTATCTGAAACCCGTTGTGGAAGATGATGCTCTCATCATGTCTCTAGACGAGCTGCATGTTGATGACCATGTTGAGCCGTTGAGTAAGGAGGGCTCCGTCTTGACAGGTGAGGTGCCATCTACACAGTCGCTCCTCGCCAGCAAGAGCGAGCTAGAGCGGGAACTGGCGGCCGTCAAAGCGCAGTTTGCAAACTACCGCACTGCCGTGGAGCAGACACTGGACCACCGCTGGGGCGACGACACCGATCCTGGCCCCGCAGCACCGCCCCGAGACCAGTCGCAGTATTACTGGGAGTCGTATGCTGATAATGGTTGGTATTTCACTCTGCACGGCTGTCGTCTTCATTCAAATCAGACTCGCTGATCCTTTGACCCAAGATATCCACGAGACTATGCTCAAGGACGTTGTTCGTACGGATGCCTACCGTGACTTCGTTTACGAGAACAAAGCACTTTTCAAGGGCAAGGTCGTTCTTGACATTGGCTGCGGCACTGGTAAGATCAAAATCCTCAGCAAAGATATAGCGTGCTTCGTTGGCAATCTAACCCAGCGCCAGGCATTCTTAGCATGTTTTGTGCCAAGGCTGGTGCTAAAATGGTGTACGCTGTCGACAAGTCTGATATCATTGACAAAGCACGCGAAAATGTTTACCACAACGGCTTGTCCGACACTATCACCCTGCTCAAGGGCAGGATCGAGGACATCAGCCTTCCTGTCGACAGTGTAGACATCATCATCAGCGAGTGGATGGGATACTGTCTTCTCTACGAAGCCATGTTACCTAGCGTCCTTTATGCTAGGGACAAATATCTGAGGCCCGATGGCATACTAGTCCCTAGCGTGTCTACCATATGGGTGGCGCCAGTATCAGACCCAGAGTTCGTCGCGGACCATGTTTCCTTCTGGGACGACGTCTACGGCTTCGACATGAAGGCCCTCAAGGCCGGAATCTACGACGAAGCCCGCATCGACGTTTGGCCCTCCTCGACCATTTGCGGCGCGCCGGCTCAAATTTCATACCTTGACCTTCACACAGTCAAAGCCGAAGAGCTGAACTTTACTGCGCAGTGGAACTCGACTCTATCTCGCGACATTGCTGCACTCGACGGATTTCTCATCTGGTTTGACTGCTTCTTTACTAAAACCAGGGCGGAGACCATTCCACCCGGAGTCGAGGCCAAACCCAGGACGGGCAAGGATCAGTCGCCCGTTGTCTTCACCACCGGACCATACGGACCTGACACTCACTGGAAACAGGGGTTCCTGCTAGCGGATCAGAGTAAGGGATCCGTTGCTGTGAAGTGTGACACGAAGGTGTCAGGCCAGGTCACCTTCAAGGCGCCTGAGGATAACCCTAGAGCGCTGAGGATTTCCACTACATGGACGACTGGTGACACAGAACAGATGTCGCAGACGTGGAAGTTGCGGTGAGACAAGAAGCCTGGGGCTTCGGATATGCGGGGATTCGGGGATCACTATGTAGTTCAGGATCATTTTGAAGCTGCAGAGTCTGACACCTTCAATCTTTTCCAAAGCCGCCCGCTCAAGTAAGCCTTGTGTCGTGCCGATATCCTTGATAGGTTGTTTGGAGATCTCAAGCAGTCTTGCGACTCGCTGTCACTCGCCCGCTGCCCGCCTCGTCCTCACTTTCGCCATCATCGTCGCTCTGCTCCTGCCCGTCTTCGCTCTCGTCCTCGCTTTCTTCATCCTCGCCATCAGAGACCTCCAGTCCGATCTTCCTCAACCGAGCCTTGAAATAATTAGCGCTTCAATGTATAAATGTACAGCCCAGAAATACGTACCTTGTACTTGCTGACCTTGTCTTCGACGTCGGCAAATACCATTAGCAGGTCGTCCAATTCTGTCTGTATTGCTTGCTTGGCGTTAGTAACCTCCGCTAGGTTGGCTGCAATCTGTGCCGATCAGTTAACATCATATGCCCAAGCCTATCTACGTTTCATGATGGACACTACATACCTTGAGGCCGTCCTGTTTGGTTTCATCCAGTTCTTTCTCGAGGCGCGCACATTTGCTGACAGACTCTTCCGCCAGGTCAATCTGCTTCTCGAGCTTGGCCAAGCTCTGTTGCTGTGTCAGGTTTAGTCGCGCGGTATGCTCCTCTTGCAGTGTATGAAGCTCCTGCGCTTTATTTTTGTTCGTCTGCATGTTCCTTAGTGTTGGCTCGACAGCGACGCAGCACGGTCGTATATACCTTCATAAGATCGACTTCTAGCCTGCTGATAGTGGCGCGTAGATCCGCGGCTTCGGCGTCGGCACGACGTTTGAGTCTGCCAACCTCAACTTCTGCAGCTTCACTGGCTTTGCTCAGTTGCTTTTCATGATCGTCGCCAAGTGAGGCCATCTTTCGTCGCAGTTTCCTACTGCAGTTAGTCATCGAGACTGTGTCGGCTTCGGCTGAAAACTTACTCTAACTCGGCCTCGCTCGTTTTTTTCGTATAATCGATCTGCCTTTTGTAATCTTCCTGAATCGAAACTAGTTTGCGACGCTCAGCCCTGTACATATCAGTTGATTGTTGCTTCAGGGTGCCACGCTTGATGTGCTTACTCCAACTCGACTTCTTTAGACTGGATCGCTTGCTTCAGTTGCCGAGCGTGCTCAGCCTGCTCGGAAGCAAGCTGTTGACGCATCTTACTGACCAGGGCTTAGTAGGGCTTCAAGGTTGGTGACAATGACACGTACTCTAGCTCAGCAGCATGGTCTCGCCGAACGGCCTCAACCGCGGCATTGACCTTGGCAATATCAACGGCTGCATTTTCTCGACTCTTCCGATGGTCTGCCTGTTCTTGCCCAAGCTGCCTCTCAAGAGTAGTAGAGGCCATATGTAACTCATCAAGCGCTTTGCTTTTCTCTCCTAGCTGGGCGCGTAGGGAGTCCACCAGATCTCGCGAGATGCCTTGTTGCACGCCATTTGCTGATACGGGAATTTCCAGGCCAGGATCTCGATCAATGGCCCGCAATAGCCGACTGTAGTTATCTTTGAAGAAGTCCACAAAAGTGATATCAAAGAACACTTCAGGCAGTCGACCCGGAGAGGATGGATCAAGCTTCTGAGGGAGGACTTCAAAGTCGCGCATCAATGGGTTGGTTCGCAACCTGCTAAGTCTGTCAATGAACTTTTCCTTTCCCAGCCGAGAGAGTAGGATTGCGTGAAGGCTAGCTCTGGGAATAGGGGAGTCCTTGGTCGAGAACTCGTAAATTTCACCCAGAATCATGGCACACAGTCCTTGAACGATTTCGTCGGCTGGGCCAGGCCGGACGACTACCTGTATCAGGCCTTGTATATTACTGCCTTCGGCCAGAAAGTCGTTGACAGCCTCCAGGTCCTCAAACATCCAACCGAGAAGGAGGATCAAATATCCAGTCGCAACCCGGCTGTCCTGTTCACGACCGAGCCCGGAAAGGAGATGAGCAGCAACAGACTGAATACTAGTGACTATTTCTTCGCCATCTTCTGCATCACCCTCAGTCACTGCCATGGCAAGACTTTTTGCTTCAGGGTTGTTGAAGAGAAGATGGAAGGTGATTATGGCAGCAAACCAGGGGCGGTAAGGATTGACAATGGCGTCGTCGTTGTAGGGCCGAAGCAGGACAGCGAGCACATTAGCTGTCTCGTCAAGGCCCGTTTTGTAGCCTTCAATTGCTCGTTTGAGGAAGTGAAGGCGTATCTCTGCGTGATCAAAGAAGTAGGCTTTGAGGCAGTCACAGGCTGCAATTCGCACGTCAAACATGTCATTGGCCGAGACTGCGAGGGTCAGATCAAGTAGTCCGTCAATGACATATACTTCGGGATCTTTATCCGGGCCACCCCCGTCTCTCGCCCCTGAGCTGGGTTGAGAAAGGGGAGAGGGGACTTGCAGTTGTGCGAAGCTCTCCTGTAGAGTCGTATTGCCCTTGATGATGTCGGCACATGTCACAAGCGCCTACGCAATAGATCAACGAACGGCCTGAACAAGTCGGCATGTATGTGGGGAAACGAACCTCGGCTTTGACTGGCGTCTGTACCGCTGCACTGAAAGAAAGACGAAGGGCGTGGTAAAGCAAGCCATGTTGCCATAATGCCAACTGGTTTTGGGCGGTGCCAACAGCACCATGCACAAGTAGGAGGCGAACCACGGCAAGAAGGGCATAAATGTTACGACCCCGTTGTGCTTGAACCCACCCTGCGACATCATCAGCCACAGCTGCTTGTCCTTGTAAGACACCTTGCAGCAAGGTGGCCAAATTTTTGACTCCACCAGATTCGCGAAAAAGGGACTGGTTCGATGCGTTCGCCCGCAATAGATTTGCCAGGAGGATTAGGCAATCCTCGACAACTCGACCTCCATCAGCCAATGATCCATCCAGTGCTATAATAGAGAATAACCTGTCAAATGCGTTCTCGAAAGCAACTAGCTTCTGTATGTCCGCCGATGAGGGGGTAAGAAATGTCAAGAGAGTGATAGCTTCGTTCCTAATGGCATCGCGCTGGTCATCGAGAACGGCTACGAGGCGAGAGATTCCCAGTGGTGCTATTAGGACGCACTCTTCGGTCCTCTCTGCACGAGCTGCCAAGATTGCCGTTAGAAGCTGCAGAGAATACAGTCGGGAGTAAAAGTCTGCTCCTTCGAGTAAATCAAGCAAAAGAGTGATGTTATCCTGGCGTTGCGTGAACTCGTCTGCTAGCCAGAGAACGATCTCGTCGGAAGCTTCTGGGCTGTCTTGGTTGGGACTGAACAGCATCAGCAGTGTTTCCAACACAACCTTGACTGTATCAACATCTTCCCCGTCGTTACTCAAACTGCCAATCAAGCTTCGAAGCGCCCCTGAGGCAACTGTGGCGGGAAAATCTTTGGCAAAGCTACGAAGACCAAGAATGGCTGCACGTCGATCTTCCAACAATGTTGCCGAGCTCAGGCGACCACTCAGGACGGATATGGTATCGCTAACCGACTGTTTCGCCGGAGCTGTTGAAATAGAGGAGAACATGATGTCTCTTGTGCCTTTGCACCCCTTGTTGCTTTCCTCGTCAACGCGACTTTGGCGGCGTGAATGGCGCGTTGCGGTCTAGAGTCGCGAGAATCGATGAGGGCTGGGTTACCACCATTCCGTGCAGATGAATCGAGATCGTGCAGGCCCCTCGAGAAGATCAGTCGTTCCAGACAGATGACTGTGTTCACGTTTATGGCAACGCTCGGTGACCGTAGACTTGCAACCCGGGCTGGTGCCAAACAAATTAGCAAGTTATCAATATGCAACGTGCCGCCTAGGCCTGGTGTCGACTTCATAGGGTTCATTTATAAACATTGAACAGCTAGCGCAATGGCAAAGCTCCGTAGCTCTGGGAAAACAACTTGGCGCACGACAGGTGGTAATTAGAGAATATTGGAGTGGAGCGGACTTACCTACTTGTCTACCTACCTTGCTCCAAGGCACAATGTCACGATCGGGAGCCAGCAGTTCGCGTCTACTCGATAGGGCATCCCACCTTTAGGTTGCTTCGTAACCCCAGTTGATCAAATCATGCATTACAAATCCCATGCTACGTGTTCGAGCTGGGCGTGGATTCTCATCGCATTAACGGGGCGTCTTGTCAGTTGAATCTTATTCAAGCTTAACCGAGGTGGGCACCTATCTACCTGTCGATACCTCCTAGGTACCACGGTGCCTCTCTTACCTGCACTTACCTGCACGTTCCATGCGTCTTGTCAGTGCTCGAGATTCCATATTACTAATCATAATCTTATCTCACTCGTAGGTATCCCAATGCGACCAACAGCCAAACTTCTAGCGCAGATGGCACGCGTGACTACCTGGTAGCGTACCTTACCTACCTACACAAAAGAAGGCAAGGTACTTCCCAATCAAGGCCAGCCAGTTTTTTCTTTGCTCAGCATTCCCAAGTCAGGTCGAGTATATCTAGCTGCGAATCCTCCTTCCTGGATCCTCCAATCCAGCTCCAGAAAAGCTTTTTAGGACTGCAGAGGCAGTGATCAATTCGATTCGGACGACGAAAGATTGCCGTGCGATTACACTCCACTTCTTCCAGGTCCTCGTTCTCGTCTTGCAAGACTATCACGCCGCTCGTGACAGCAATTCCACACACGCGGCGCCTCACCCACCTTGCAGTACGCGGCAAGACTACGTCGATAAAATTAACAGAAACTTTCCCGTCACCAGAGATTATATCCCGGCGTCGCCCACGTACATTCACTATCAACCAGAGGTCTCAGCGGCTCGCGCGACTACACCGTCACAATGGGCATTCCAGCTGCGTTCAGATGGCTATCGAACAAGTACCCGAAAATCATCTCGCCTGTAGTGGAGGATCAGCCGCTACAAATCGAAGACGGGACGACCATTCCGGTAGACACCACCGGTCCCAATCCAAATGGAGAAGAACTGGACAATCTCTACCTTGACATGAACGGTATCGTTCACCCTTGCTCGCATCCAGAGGATCGCCCTGCCCCCAAGGATGAGGAGGAGATGATGCTCGAGGTTTTCAAGTACACCGATCGAGTAGTGAACATGGTCAGGCCACGGAAACTACTCATGATCGCTGTTGGTAAGTCATCAAGGGACTCATAACCGTCACGATCCAGATATTTACAGAACTGACAATAATTCAGACGGTGTTGCGCCACGAGCAAAGATGAACCAACAGCGATCGCGTCGATTTCGCTCTGCACAAGAAGCCCAAGAGAAAGAGGTCGACAAGCAGGAGCTTCTCAAGCTTCTCAAACAACAAAATGGCGGCATTTTGCCACCTGAGACCCTTGAAAGCATGAACAAGAAGGCTTTTGATTCAAACTCGATCACACCTGGCACCCCCTTCATGGATACACTTGCAACCAGTCTGCGTTATTGGTGCGCATACAAGCTCAATACTGATCCTGCTTGGGCTCGACTCAAAATCATCATCTCCGACGCTACAGTTCCAGGCGAAGGAGAGCACAAGATCATGAACTACGTCCGCTCTCAAAGAGGCTCGCCAGACTACGACCCCAATACCCGGCATGTCATCTATGGCCTGGACGCCGACCTGATCATGCTGGGTCTTGCTACCCATGAGCCACATTTCCGCGTACTGCGAGAGGATGTTTTCGCACAAGATGCCAAGGCCAAGATGTGCAAAATATGCGGTCAAAAAGGACACGATGCGCGCGTTTGCAAAGGCGAGGCCAAAGAAAAAGACGGCGAATATGACGAGCAAGACAAGGCTGTAGCCTTGAAGCCTTTCATATGGCTTCACGTATCCATATTTCGAGAGTACCTCGCTATTGAGCTTGATGTACCTGACTTGCCGTTTCGATTCGATCTCGAGCGCGCAATAGACGACTGGGTATTCATGTGCTGCTTCGTGGGCAATGACTTTTTACCACATCTGCCGGCCCTAGAAATCCGAGAGAATGGTATAGACGCATTAACAACCATCTGGAAAGAAAATCTGCCTCATATGGGTGGCTACGTTACCAAGGACGGCCACATCGATCTGAAGAGGGTACAGCTCATCATGGACGGCTTGGCGAAGCAGGAGGACGCCATTTTCAAGCGGAGAAAAGAGCAGGAAGATCGCCGAGAAGCCAACGCCAAGCGGAGAAAGCTGCAGGACGAGCGGAGTGGCAGAGGGGGCCGTGCCGACGCCAGCGGGCGCGGGCGCGGCAAACCACCTATGGACAACGCATCCTCCGGGCTGGCCTTATTTCCTGTCTCTGGCTTCCCCAATGCTGACCCCAGCGCTGTGACACATGACATGGTTGTTGGGCGCTCGTCGAACGCCAACATCAACGCGAATGCCGCCAACAAAAGCGCCGCCAATGTCATCAGGGATCGAATCCAAGCATCGGGAGCCCAGGGCAAATCGGCAAATGGTGACGCAACAACCCATCCAAAAGTCCAAGTACCTGCTGTAGCCGAAGAAGGTGCAGCCGCAGCAAGCTCTGTTGTGAAACGCAAGGCGGATGTTCTGGACGGCCCATCGCAATTAACACCCAATACCGGACCGTCCGCCGCGGAAGAGGCTGCGATAGATCACGTTCGAATGTGGGAAGAAGGTTACGCAGACCGCTACTATGAGCAAAAGTTCCACGTCGATCGTAATGACGTCGCCTTTCGCCATAAGGTCGCACAAGCCTATGTTGAGGGGCTTTGCTGGGTGCTTCTCTATTACTATCAAGGCTGCCCGTCTTGGGATTGGTACTATCCCTACCACTATGCGCCATTTGCGGCTGATTTTGCCGACTTGGACAAGATCGAGATTAGCTTCGAGAAGGGGCGAATCTCGAAGCCTTTTGAACAACTCATGAGTGTTATGCCAGCTGCATCTCGCCGTGCACTTCCAGAGGTCTTTCATGATCTCATGCTCAACGAGGACAGCGAGGTCATAGACTTCTACCCCCAAGAGTTCGAGATTGACCTCAATGGCAAAAAGTTTGCTTGGCAAGGTGTTGCTTTGCTTCCTTTCATCGACATGCCGCGGCTTTTGGCAGCAGTCGAAAAGAAGTATCCCTTGCTCAGCCCCGAGGATGCTGCGCGTAATGGAATTGGTAGGGACGTTTTGTTGCTGTCCGACGCGCATCACGAGCTTTATGAAGACATCACGAGTCATTTCTACTCCAAGAAGCAAGGCGCCCACACCTTCGGGTTGAATCCTCGGACCAGTGAAGGCATGACCGGCCAAGTTGAGAAGATCGCCGACTATCTGCCGCACGGGTCCTTGGAGTATCCTTTAGACAGGAAGTCAATGCCCAGCCTGGACTACGACCGATCCCTCAGGTACGTTTGACCCTAAACGATCATGTCAGATACACCCGAAGCTCACCGAAGAAAAAAAAATGACAGTGTTTATTACGAATTCCCAACTACAGCCCCTCATAAGTCCATGCTCTTACGCGGGCTGAAGATGCCTACCACAGCTCTTGGTCGGTCTGACATAGAGCAGCTGAGGAACAAGTCCTCTCGCTCGGGTCGAGGCGGTTGGGGCGGCGCCCCTTCAGGACGGTATAATGACGGTGGGCGCGGTCGAGGCCGCGGAGGCGGCTACGGTGGTCGTGGTGCCTTTCACTACGCAGAATCTGGAGCCAGGGCCCAACAACACTCCTCACATTACCAGAACGGTTCCGCCTCCCGCGACCACTATGGCGCCCAGAAGGCACCACATCCGCCTTCAGCGTGGCAACCACCACCACCAGGTCACCCTGGCTTTGGCATGGGTCTTCCTCCCCCACCCCCCCCAACACACTTCAACAACGGCCGCCCGAGTACCTATGGACTGTCTCATGGAAGTCACGAGGCATCTCCGCCATACCAGAACTCGTATCCCGCCCGAGAAGACTATGGATCAAGAGGTCGTGGAAGCTATCAGGCAAGAGGAGCTGGGCGTAGTCAGAATTACCATGGCGATAGACAACAGCCCTATCGGAGATGAGATTGGCAGAGGTTAAAACCCGAATTTGCGGCTACTAGCGAATAAAAGCCAACCCAGATAGGGCTTACACTGTAGGCTGCCATCAGACATGTTCCTTTGATCTCCGTCATCTCAATTTATATCACTTCATCGTTGTGTGACGAGTGCTACCGAGACACATGGCATGGTATGGCGAGCTTCGTGGCGAATTTGGCAAACTTGGCGGTTTCATGCAGTACTTGAGTTGCCATTTTCCCAGTCAACACGAAGGACGCACGGCCATGTTCAGCATTCCATGTCATGTCTCGATTGAATCAGTATCCATGCGCACCCCGCATGATTCCCCTTTACCCTCGTAGGTACCTAGATAGGTAGTTGAAGGCGACGGTACCTGGCCAAGCCAGCCAAGTGTGGACCCCTCCTCCTCGCACCCATCACTGACCCACCCAATCTAGCCAGTATGTCGTGTACACACCCTGCACGCACCAGCTGTCCGGCCTGAGCAACAAGACCTACCAACACACCCCATATCCAGGAACAATCGGTATGAACTTCGACGCTTCCTTGGCCAGCAGCGATGAACGGTGATGCAGGACTCGTCGGATGTCTGGTCGACAGGATTGCCACCCGAGTGAGTGAATCGGTCTCCTCCCCGTGAAATCAACCTTGTCCCCTCTCTTGTGGCATTGATATGCTTACAGCTTGCCTTTGGACAGCTGCCACATCGTACCGGAACCCAACCCCGCGAACTAGATCAGGACGAAATAGTCGCTAGCACCCGAGTGACACTTGTCAAGATTAGCGCCACGAATATAGCAGCGATCCTGGACTCGCTGATCACCCTTCTTGAGGAGCTTGGTCGAGGTTACAAGAGCTTCTCTTCACGTCCTAGCCACGTTGTCTCTTCCGAAGTCTACGTTTTAGCCCTGGCAAGTGACTGTTGCGCCGCGCATTGGGAGGCCGTCCGCTCCAATAGTTTGCGTCAACTAGTCAAGCAAACCCATACAAGGCGTGGGTCGCTGCAAGTTGTGCCGACGCCCCTGGATGATTCCCTGGTCTCGCGCCTACTCAATGTCCTGAGGAACCTTCTCAATCCGACCCCTGATGGCTTTATTCTCCCCGCGCACACCATCCTCGGCCGTTGCCCTCGTCACTCAGAACGAGATGCTCGGCTCGAGACTGGCGCCGACAGTCTTTCTCAGGATGATGTCCTCGCGACTGACAAATACGATTTGACCATTTCACCAGTTTCCGTGGAAAGTCATGCGAAGACCCTTGTGGAGTATCTCACAGCCTCCTCGTGGACCAGCGTCTTCGACCATCTCAGGAAAGTCGTCTACACTATTCGGACGACTGGAGTAGCTCAGCAACAGCCTAGCCAGCCTCCTCCCGTGGGCGAAGATGACAGGGCAAACCTAGTCGCGATTCGCCTGATCTCCTTCTACTGGGTAGACAGCCAGAAACTTGGCCAGGTCATCCAAGAGATATGCTCCAGTTATCTCCATCTCCGAAGGCCATTCCAGACTGCAATCGCGGCTGTACTTCCCTTGCTGGTTGTTAACTGGCTTGAACGGCATCCTCATGAGTTTGTACAGTTGCACACACTGCATAAGCGGCTTGACGGTGGGGCTGATACGCTCTTTGACATGACACAAGCTATTGTGGATAATGGTCGAAAGAAAGGCATGATGTTCGCAATGCAAATCACATTGCTTCTTTTGCTCCCTGACGTGTTCGAGGTAGCGAGCAATCTACGTGAAGCCAAGAGCAGCAGCATGGCTAAGAAGACGGCATTCCTGGACGGACTGAGGAAATCGTTGCGTAACAAAAATGAAGCAGCAGCCTACTGTCTAGTTTTGTTGTTACGTGCTGCTCGTCATTTTGATGCCGAGGACGACACAGCCATCGTGAGCTTTGCTCTCGACGTGCAGGATGAGGTCAAGGACGCAGTCTTCCGACGATCTGCACCTAACGCGGACGGTTCGCACTTCGAGCAGGACTTGCTGAGCGCAGCATTCGTGGGTCTAGCTCAACTCAATCCTGAGAGTGGCCTGGACGCGCTGGCTGAGACCTGTCTTGCTTCGGGCACTCCTACGAGCTTTCGACGAGCTGTTGTACAGGGCTGCAGTTACCTTGCCAGACAGAACGACTCCCACAGGTACGAAGCACTGTTTGGTACAGCAACTCCTTATATGTTGAGTCAGCTCAAGGTATGTCAATTACTAGCCTAGGATAGTAGAGATTCGTATTTCATCCTGGTCGGAAAGGCTGATAATACTACAGGACATTGCTGGACTGTTGTCAGATAACTCGACTCTCGACATCACCATACAGGCCTTGGATCACCCTAAGGCCCTCATGGCTTGTAATGTGCTTGACTTCCTGGAAGCTTCCCCGCAGTCACTTCTCGAAGTAGAAGAAAGAAAACCAGGGTCAACAGCACCAGCGCACAGCATGTTCGAGGCATTTCTGTGTCTTGTCTTGTCATGGGACCCTGGCGTAAGGGCACATGCTACTAGGGTAGCGAAACGGCTGTTCGTAGATCGTGCTGTTATCGAGGATCTCAGATCACAGGGCACCCTCGACTCTTCGACCTTGAAGATCAGTTTCTGGAGGCGCAGGTTAGTTCGACACCATCGTGCAACCCGCTGTGACTTTCCCTCCCGCTCCTTTTCTTAACGAGCTGATTCGGGTGTAGTTGTCGGCTCATTGTGAGCTTATGCGACCAAGTAATGGTAGGCGGAGGCAGCATAGCTGTGAGGGCAATGTACGACTATCTTGCTGCAAGAGTTGTGCTGTTGAACTCTCTGCGGGTAAGTGCTTTCGCTTCCGATTGAATAACCACCCCTGACTTAACTAGGAACTATCTGAAGTACCCGGTGACATCCCTGAACTGCCGACAGCAGCCTCCAAGACCGAAACGACCCTGTTGGTGGCTTTGTGTTCGGCTGACGTTGAAACGTGTCGATTAGTGACGTCTCTGGTCGCCACCTCACTAGAGGCCAACGAAGCTGCAGAAGCAAGCCCTCAAGCTGCAAAAGTTCTAGCGCCTTTGCTTCGAAACAGTGACATATTCCGTGAGCTTGGGTCTGGTTCATTTCGTTTCACGGGCCTTGTCGCTTTTCAAAAGCGCATGCGAGGCTTGTTGAGACGGCTGCAATACCCAACCATTGGTATCCTCGCAGCGTGGGAGCATGCATTTGAGAGGTGGTTGCTTCTCTCCAGGGAAGTCTCCTCGACACCAGCAGATGCTATTGAAGACAAGGTATTTTCGGAATGGCGCAATCACTCTGGTTTTCTTGCATCTCTGGGTGGCATCTGCGTCGCCAACCCCGCCATCATTCTTGAGGAACCTACACTGAGCAGCGCGCGGTGGATTGACCAATTACCTAATGACAATCATGAGGAACCACTCCTTGACCGGTACCTGAGGCTGAGTATTCAACTACTGGGTTGCAACAACATCAGGGTTCGAGAAGCGACCCGGGAGGTTCTGTCTAGCGACATCTCACCCACACTCTACCAACCTATGTTCAGGGCCCTCGAATCTGAGCTGGAGGTTCTCTTCACGGGAGCTTTAGCTCCAAGCGACCAAGCTCAGGACATTGAAGTCGCGTTTGCAGAGCAAGCAATTTCACTGCTGAAAGCTCTTGTTGAACGACTCGATAGCCCCTCAGATCTGGGCGCCGCATCATCTGTACATCTTGGTGCCTTGACTCTGAGCTTTACCAAGTTCATGGACAGTATGGCCGACAGCACAAGCACACTCAGGGTGAAAATCAAAGTCTGTCAGCTATGCGAAACTGTCAATAGGCGAAAAGAACACCTTAATCTGAGGGATGATGTGCGTATCAGGAACCACTTGCTGGAATACATATTTGGCTGGATTGCTCGCCCACGAACGCCTCGTGTGGATCCACACCAGGGCGTCATGTTGGGACGTCCAGATGATGCCCAGCGAATGCAGAAGGACTTGGACCGAGCTTGCCTAAGATCACTGGCAGAGCTCACATTTCGCTTGCCGCTGCAACCTGGCGAAGGGCAGACGGACGCAGGCGCGAGTGAGTTGAAGGCTCAGATGTTTCATACCTACTTCAATCGCTTCTTGTCCTTGCTCAATCACGACTCGTCTGAAATCAATAAGGGCGACATCATGCCAACTGGGGTCAGCAGGGATGATACCGCATCAGCCTCCGAGTTAGCGATCACTATATTGTCCAATCTGTTGAGTGCAAATATCGATGTCGGCCTCAAGCATTCCCTGAACATCGGCTACCACGGCAATGTCGACATCAGGACAGCATTCGTCAAGGTGTTGTGCAATATACTTATCCAGGGCACAGAGTTCAGCAATCTGACCGACTCGGCCGTAAATGAGAAATACAACGAACTCTTGGATGTGAGTAGTCTTCTTGTAAGAACAACTATTATCAAAGGAGGCGCTAATATATGCGAGTACAGTTACTTACCAAGGACATGACACTTGTCGCCGCCATGAGCATTGTATGCCCGAGTCACGAGGTTGACGAGTTGACCATTTCCCTTCTCACAATCTTCGAGCATCGAGGCCGAACCTTTGAATTGATTGAAACGTTAATCAAGCAAGAGATTGAACAAACTGGTAGGCTGCTCCAAGTGTCCATTGAAAAGACGCTTGCTCAACTGTTTTATGATCAGATAACGAGTCTGAAATCCTGAGACGGACTTGTGTCGCCACTAAAATGCTATCAGTATATGCGAAGTGGAAGGGACAGGCCTATCTCAAAGCAACACTGCAGAAGGTAGTTGAGCGATTGGTGCTCACCTCGAAAGATCTTGGTTTAGAGCTCGACCCTGCTCGGGTGACATCGAACGACGAGCTGCAGAAGAATGCCCTGCAGCTTCGAATCGTTGCCAAGGTATTCATAGACGACATCTGCGCGTCCTCGTCCAGCGTTCCAAGCTCATTCCGACAAATCTGCAGTATAGTAAGCTCACGAGGTCCTCTCCAATCCACTCAACCAGCTAATGCAGGGAGATATCCACAGCAGTACTTCCCAGATTCCAGGAGGCAAAGTACACAGCAGTTGGTGCATTTGTTTTTCTCCGATTTTTCTGCCCTGCTATCGTGGCGCCTGAGGTTGAGGGACTGCTGGACACGCCACCCTCTCGAGAATTGAGGCGGGGCTTACTTTTGATCGCCAAAGTGATCCAGAATCTGGCAAACAACGTCCTGTTCGGCGCGAAAGAGCCATACATGTTTCCCTTGAATGACTTCCTCACACAGAATATCTATCGTGTCACTACATTTCTTCGAGAGATATCGGTAAGCGATATAGTCACGATTGTTCGCCTGGCAGCTCGAGATCATTCAAACTGACACGCTGCACAGGTACCGCCAGACAGTCTGGATCATGAAAGTAGCATCGAATCTTTCGACTTCGGGTCCTGCGTTGCCTTGCATCGCTTCCTATACGACCACTGGGATCATATTAGGCAGAAGCTGGTCGGCCATGAACGTAGGGACTACGTGCGCTCACCAGCCGAGATTTCTCGAGTCCGTTCCCCTGTGCTTGAGCCACTACGTAACTTGATCACAAATCTAGGGCCGCCGCCCTTGGCAGTGACCTGGAACAGGCCGCAAGTCTCGACGAACACACCACCCTCATACTCAATGTTCCAAGACTTTATGTTGCGCAACGCGTTTCGTGGTACCGAGTCGTTCCTAACCGCCCGAGCCGTGTATGATGGGGGAGAGAGCAAGGTATGTCTGACCAATTGATTGCCGAGAATCACTCTGGAAGTTTCAGGGAGGTACAACAGCACTGACTGTTTCCAATCAGGACGGACTTTCAATAATCTGTATCATATTGCGGCACATGGACTCGGAGAGCATTGACTATGAGACCCTGATCTTCTGCTATTTGAAGGTAAGCAGCCAAGAAGTAACACTCTACATGGTCGGACTGATCACGGTCCCTTTTGTGTGACTCCGAGCCTCCTCGATCTTGGCGCGTTGACCCTTCCGCAGATCGCCAGTCGCCTTTGGCATAAGCCCTTCGGGCTACTCATAGATGCAACATGCTACAATGGGCAGAATGAGCCCCAAGACGATCTCCTTCGGAAGCTAGACTCTCTCACACCAGTCGAACTGAACCGCAATTTGACGAGAGTTTACGTATACAACATGAACAGTGCTTTCCGGTGAGCAAATGTGGGCTGAGATGTGCCCGATTCATTCAAATTAACGTATGTTGTAGGAAATGCTTCCGTAGAATTCTTCGAGTCTCTGCCAAGACTGAGAGCAGCGTTTTCCACCCAAAAAATGTCGAGTACCATCTCATTGGCAGCCTGCAAGACTTGCAGGCTCACTTTCACTTGAGCCAGCTTCACCTACCGAAAGAGACAATCAGTGTTGTGACGGATACACGCTACGTTTTCCAGCCCATCACCAGGCTTTCAAAAACAAAGGGAAAAATCGAGGTTATCATCAAGGTTGGGAGCCAATTTGTCCAGGTTACGACAACCAAGAAGCAGGAGGTTTTCCCAGGCTACCGGCTTAGCACAACAGTCAACGACATTTTCCGCCTCGGGGAGGTTGATGAGGCTCCGACATCGATTCAAACCGAAGATGATTCAGCATTTGGACTCCGAGCCGATAGCGGTCGCATTGTGATGTATTTCACCAGTCCGAAAAAGGTGGATGTTCTACAAACAATTCGCGGTGCTAAAGCCAAGTACAGCAAAGACAGTCGATCACACAAGGCTTACGAGCGACTGATTCGACCACAAGACGTACCTGGGACTCTTCTCAACCTAGCATTAACAAATCTTTCAAGCGTCGACGATGTTCTCAGGCTAGCTTCCTATAATCTTCTTGGCTCATTGTGCAAAGCCTTCCGATTTAGTGCTGCCTCCAAAATGATGTGCTTGATCGGTAAGTTACATTGACTCAATCTGTTTTGGACCTTGCTCGTGCTAATTATGCCTGAGATGTCTCGGTGCCCACATCTGCGTCACACTTCATCATTGCGATCAGTGAACAGCTGGCACAGACGGAGCCACAGCTGACTTTCGACTTTCTCACCGAGTTTTTCGTGGGGTGGGAGAGCTTTTCTGACGACCAAAAGCCGATAAGCCTGGCGTATATGTCGCCGTGGCTTCCTGGCCTGCGAACTGCGATTCTTGCAAACGAGGCAGATGGCGACAGGGGTAAGGAAAAAATTGCTTCTTTGTTCCGGAAACTAATTGACTTGGCTGTGGCCGATCACTTCCTCACGTACACTCTGGAGCAGGTTGTTTGGCCCGCCATCTCGCAGGATGAAACGATCCTGGATCTTTTTCTGGAGGAACTAACAAAGGCTGCACTCAGCCTCAACCTTGCAGACGAGTCGCTAGATGCTCTTTCTTCGATAGTGGCCGGCATAGGAACTATCACCCTCCGGGCTAGGGTCATTTCCAGGCTACGAAAGGCGTTGAATCGAACCTCCCTCCGCCCCACAAAAGCTTTGCCAGATAACGTTGTGTGGGCCGAGATCTGCGTATTACTTCACTTCTGCTTGTCACTCTCCTTCGACAATGGTGTCCAGGCGCAGCTCTTCTTACCGGAGATCTTCCACATAGTCACCATGCTTGCCAACACTGGTTCGGTGGAGATACGCATCCTGGTTCATCGTCTACTCGTCAACACTGTACACGCTGCTTGCACTTCTTTCCTCCTCGAAGATCTGAGGTTAAACAAACTGCGAAGCAGTTTGGACCTCATAAATGACTCTCGTGGCGAAGTCTTCTCAACCTCGTCAAGCACTCTACGAGATACCACATCAATCACCACGACACAGGATACGGGGCCAGCCCTCGCTGCGACTGAGAGTTTGGCGGCGCTACTTTTCGAAATCTGCTCACTGGCAGCACCCTCAGTTGATATCTCAAATGCTTGGCGTTCGCGATGGATGAGTTTGGTGGCGAGCACGGCTTTCCAGAACAACCCTGCTGTGCAGCCAAGGGCATTTACGGTAATGGGTTGTCTTGCTCGAGAGGAAGTTGATGATGATCTGCTATATCAAGTCCTAGTAGCGTTGCGGAACAGTGTTGGACGATTGGAGGATGAGGGCAACAACGACATGTTCGTCTCGATTGTGACATCACTCTCCCGGATGATGTCCAAGCTCCCCTCTGCTTCGCGATACGGACTTCAATTATTTTGGCTGGCGATATCTTTGCTCCGCCTGGTTCCGGCGGCTCTGTTCAATTGCACAGCTCAATTCCTAGAAGCTGTGCTAAGTAACATCAACACAGTCGGCGGCCTCAGGGGCGAAAACATGGCAGCATTGCTTATGCAGGGCAGAGTTCAGCTTGAAGAAGCTGCGGTGCTCCTAGATGATGCATACGATGTGCATTTCTCACAGGAATCATTCCATTTCGCTGTTTGCGCATGCCTGGCGAGAGGTTTGGTCGACACTACTACGCGACAGGGTACCATGAGGGTTCTCTCTTCCTTCCTTGAGATGGCAGGTAGTTTTTCTGATGACAGTGATGGGCCGATAAGAAGCTCATTAGATTCGCCATATATGGCTCTAATTCTAGCAAGGGTCGCGGGCCACCAGGAACTCAAGGATATCCTCTGGTCGTCTGGGGTGAATCCGTCCTTGGTTGGCATGGTCGCAAGTACACGACAGCTACAGGATATTAGTCGGGCAAATGACCAGGACCTTCTGCTCAATACGGCCATTGAGCTGGTCGACTTCCAGTATCTTGAGGACGCGATCCAGGATCGAACTTTAAGATGGCTGGCCTTACTTGCCAAAGCAAGACCAACGGTTGTCCTTCATTTGTGAGATCAGGGTGCTTCATTTGCAGTAGTTGGCTTGGTGCTAACGGTGTTTTCAGGTGCGGCCCGCTGGCTACCATACTGAACGACACTCTGTCGCATTGCCAGAATTCGACAACGTTAGAAGCTGCGCACCTGCTTCTACATTGCCTTGCCTTAGATCCTCGCCTCAACCAGTCACTCGATACGCCTGTTCGACTGGAGGATGTCTTGGACGATCTTGGATTCAGTGGGCTTTGGCGGTCTTGTTCGATGGATTCTGCACACGAACAGGACAGAAAATATTTCACCTTGACGGAAAGACTGATTGAGGTAAGTTGAAGGCTTCAGTCATCAGCCAAGGAAAACTAACAATCCGTTGCAGCTCATCATTATCTAAATGATGCGTCTAGTAATATACTGTTCTCGTGCTATTGTGCCCTGCGGAAATATTGCACGACGTCAACATTCTTGGTGCCACAACCAACTCGGGTCCCCTCCCATGTCGTGAGATGCTCACTACTTACTGTTGGTTATTTTCGGGGGCTGCCCAGCGAAGGGCCAATATGTTATCAAGGGACAATGTACCCTTTGCTCCCCAGCCTTGGGGCCCAGAGTCTACGTTTGGTCGAATTGCCATATACCATGCCCATGCTCTCTGGTCTAGTTGCCGGGGAGTGAGATGCTTGGCCCAACTCTCAAACAGTAACCTAAAACTTCCAAGAACCCTTGCAGCGTTTTCTTCAGCTAGTGTGTCTGTGAAAGATGACGTCTTCGATTGTCGTGCCCTTTTTCTTGGTGACCCGGAAGTCGTAGCAACGCTGGTGGGTTGACCAGAGGCGGCTGCGAAACTACTCAGAAGATAATGTCTTGCGGCCTCGGGTTCGTGCACTACGAAGCCTAATTTTCCATGCTCACTACTGGATCGGGATGAGTTTGTTCCCAGGTTCCTCATCGAATCTTGAGGACTGGTGTCGAGTGCCCAAACCGCTACTTCCTGATACAGGTCGACAGGGTTTTGCAAGCGCAGTCCTTCCGCCAAAGCTTCGTTGACACATCTGCGAATCAACCCCCATCGATCCGGTCCCAACATGACGCCGCCAAACCATCGACTGACAACAACAAGTCGGTCAACCGAATCAGCTTCTCGAAGCAGGCGCAGGATGAATTGGCCACCACCGGTTTCACCATCATCATCTGCGCCCTCGAAAAAGGTAGACGTTTCGGGCCGCTGGATACGATAGCCCCAGAAATTGTGAGACGCTGTCTTGAGGATGGGTTGCGAATCTATGAAGGTGCCAATGACGGATTTGGCAGAATCACCAACAGTGAAAGGAGCACAGTGCGCAACGAAAGACGAGCCCCGCAAGTCTATGCGCTGGGACGTCGACCAGCTAGATGCTTCTTTTCTGGCTGTGTTCCCAGGGCTTGGTATAGTGAGCACTCCATTGTGACGGTTTGCCTGTTGATTAGTTTTCGTCCACACACCTTCGGAGGCTGATTCATCTTCCTGTACCGTAGCAACTCGCCCGGGACACGTAGCAACTTGCTCGGGACATGCGGTCGATGTCCTGCCCAAAGTCGGTCCTGCAATAGTCTCCAAGGGATAGTCACCCCGCTTGAGTATCGAAATATCTCGTCCCATGACTCTCACAGTGGGTTGTCCATGTTGCCATGTTCCAGATTTTGCCTTATTATCTTGTTCAAGTCCCATGTTAGCGGCCTTAGCTCTCGCATTGCTACTCATGACAGCCTGCGCAAGACTAAGACGGCTCGACAGTGGCTGCTCCGGCATAGTAACCCTCAGAAGCTCTAGTGTGAAAGCAAGTAGCACCGGAGCCCGGTTGATGTAAATTACGGTTGATCTTAGTTGATCTTCTTGTGTGATTATAGGTATGGTCAAAGACTGTTCGACTTCAGCCGGGGATCGGGCCTCCCCATCGCTATCGATTGAAAAAGGCTCAGTCCTCAACTTCTTTGCGGCTGGGGTCACAGGACCCTCGAGCGACCTCTTGTTCGTGCCACCTGATACGGCATCATCGAAATGTTTCCGGCAGGTAAATTGAACAGACTTGGCAGTCTTCTGATTGCCGAGGGCTTCGCGGACCACACCTAAGGGTGCATCAGCTATTTCCTGTATACTGACGCCCTCTTGCGTTAGTAGGGGAGGGCGTGTAGGGACCAGGTACATGGTTGTTTTCTTACCTTCTTAGGCCGGCATTCTGAAGTAAGCGAGCTTGGCCCATAGCCATTGCCATTGTCACATTTTTAGAGACCAGGGCCCGTAACAGTTGCTGGAGATCACTTGTAGACGCCATCTTCGTCCGCGGGTTTGTTGACGCCAGGACGATCTGAAATGGGCGGGTGAGGTACAGGGAGGGAATGTTTACGACCTGGCAGCTTCCAATGAGGGAACACTGCGGAAGGGTTCGGGTTACTGATAGTAGGAGCTTAGGTTATGACTTTAAGATTGAATAGTTAACCTCAATCTTATTCTTTATTTATTATAATAAATGCATAATACCTTCTACTATTATAATTATAAAAGAGAGTAGGTTTTTAAATAAAAAAATCCTTATATACCTATCTATTTTTTAAGGATTTAATACTAAGTTAAAGGCTAAGTATTAAAGATAAAATAATAAAGTCTAAATAAGATAAACTATTAATTACTATTAATAAGTTATTTAATATATACTTAATATTTATTAAAATAAGTACTTTATATAAAGGGTATTTATAGAATTTTTAATATTCTATAAGCCTAGGATATTTATATTTATATAAAAGTATAAGGCTAAGGGCCTTAATTAGGGGAAGTAGGTATATATTAGGGGCACCTATAGAAGGCGCTCCGGCCCTAGGTATAATAACTAAGGAAGCAGGGTAGCTGCGAGTTAACGACCCCGTAACTAGGGACACGATAAGATAAGAAGCGAACCTACTAAGTAAGTATATAATAGCTTACTAAGATAAAATAGTAAGCTATTAGCTTACTAAGAATATAATAGTAAGCTAGGGGCTAGCTTATAAGATAATATATTATAATCCTAATATAATAGATTACTAAGAATTAATAAGTAACCTATTTAATATAAGCTTACTACTTAATAATAAATATAGAATAAATAGGTATATATAAATAGGTATTCTATATTTAAAGATATATTCTTTCTTATAATAGTATTTAATCTAAGTTTTACTTTATATTTATAGGGAGTAAGGGTTTAATAACCCTTCTAATAATTAGAATAAAAGCTAAACTATATTATTATATATATTATTAGAGAGATAAAAAGTAAGGCTATAATATATTAGTAGTATTTACTTAGGGCTTCTAGGGCATTCACTTAGTACTATTTACCTATTACTAGGTAGTATTAGACTTTACTTTAGGGGTAACGTACTTCCTAGGCGAGTAGACTACCTAGGCGAGTAGACCACCCTATAGCGACTCGACGTATCGATATATTTAAGATACGATAACTCTATTTACTAATATAGAATCGCTTTCTATTAAAGAGCGTATTTATAGTACGATCTAGGCTTTTAAATAAGCCTTAAATTAAAGTATTAGGTTAATTATAAAGACCTTTAACGTTCTATAAATAATATTTAATCGACGATTTAACGGGATTTACGCTCGATACGATATAATACTTAATTCTCGACGATTAAACGATTTAGAAGAATCCGAGATTCTTTAATATATAAAGAAGCTCGAGTTATAAAGATTCTTACTTTAGCTAGCTTATATAATAGATATAGTTAATCGACTACTCTATATATATATTAATAGATATATTAGAAAGAATTAAATTATATTATTTATTAAGCGATATTTAGAATTTAAATCGAAATACTATTACGTCTATAATTATAAAAGAGCTAAATATAAAGATTTAGCGAAAATTCGGGATTA